GTCAGGCCTGGCTCATATGAGATTAATGATTTTACAATCAATCAACAAAAATCACTGTTATTTCTACCCTATTTCCTCTGCTCAATGCTGTCAACGTTTTCTTTAAAGGATGGCCCGGAGCCTAAGAGATTTCACTACTTACTGCAGACATTTTATGCAGTCCATGAATCGTCCATGTCCAGACTAACGTTATAAGATATAGAATACAAGAAAATAGTATAATAAATTATAGCGCTAAGACTTGCCACCTACTTTCCATACGCTTTAAAAGCATCTATTACTGTATTGCCTTTATGATGGAAAGAGCATTGAGTTTGCCAGCCAGCCCCACCAGCCAAAATCAATTCAAACCCAGAATCATTGTCTGTTCCAGATTGGTCAAATTTTGATAATATTGGACTCAATCAAACTATTTTTGCAGATTCGACTAAGTAAAATATGATAATCATCCTATGCTTCTTTAAGTTTGGTCCCTGGTGGTAGGGCGAAGTGGTAGAACTCCCGTATGCCAACGGGAGGATCCCGGTTCAAATCCTGGTGAACGCAAGTTGTTTGATTTTTTTGACCTAGTACTGATGTCCTCGTTTGGTGTTTTGTGCTCTTATCCATGATCTATATTTTGACGATTTCCGCAAGACTGTACTGGCTCTAGGAGTCGCACCTTATTAGTAGTAGATTTCTTTCCCAACTTAGTTCAAAAAATATCTTATTCCCCTTCATTGCAGACATTGGGTCCACCAACAGTCTTGTCTATCACTCATAGCGACATTTACAGGACTTTAAATAAAACCTGGAGCTCGTCTCCCCTACAAAAAAAAAAAAAAAAAAAAAAATGCTTCTTTAAGTTTTCTTGGAGTACTTTTCAAGGCGCTTCCAATGGTACCAAGTAAGGTAAATGTTTTGAATAAGCTTACTGAGCAAGTTATAGAAATATAAAAAGAGGTTTCTGGCCAAAAAGTCGAGATTTTACGTATCAAAGTTCTACAAAGATGATTTCAGGTGTTACGTTAGATCGATAGAAGCATTTTGATTCAATATATACCATAGTAAAAGTCTTCATTATCAAGGTGAAAAACGCGATCCTTTAATTTTCAATGAAAACCATGAAGGGTACCTCATGCTTTTTGGTCGATTTTTGGCCATGTTTTTTTTGATCCTCAAAAAGTTGAGCAAAGGTGCCAGAAAGTTATTACTATCTAAGCACAAACGTTTGACGTCATTCCGGTGGCTCAGAAAGGTCTACCTGTCAAGATATGAAGGCTCGAAAGCTGTCAAATTTACTTATGTCTTTGCTTTGTAGCTTTTGTTTACACGACATGAATTACATCTTTGGTAGCTGAAATCTTCTGGAAGGGCAGTTCTGCAGTCTGTGCAATTTCCAAATCGAATTGGAGGCATATTGGTCTTGGTAAAGCCATTTCATGCAAATTTTGATGCGCTATATTATTGGTAGGCTTAATAATAATAGAAATAAAAGGCTGAATTGGCTGCTTGAATGCTATGGTTTTGCACCTTCACTTCGCTAAGGTAAAGCCCCCTTATAGGTCAACATTACCAAATGTTGAATTAGATGCGTTATGTTCTTGGTAGAGGGACCAAGTTTCCCCCCTCCCCAATGCTAGCTTCGCTGGTGGTTTTTTCGAGCCTTATACGGTACTCAGTGCTTTAATTTTTTTACGTCTCTGATCTCTGATTAGTCGCTCCGATGATTTTTATAGTTTTCTGGTAAATATATTAGAGGTGATGGTGGGTGGGAGATGCCAGACATTATGCTCGCAAGATTCGAGGCATACTGAAGAATGTTGAGCGCAGATTTAATCGGTTTTGGCTGGCAAAATGCTTTTCATATGACAACAATCGATGCTTGCGAAGCTAATAAGAGAGATATTACGATTTGAGGAGTATTATAGTTTAGCTTGTCTATTTATTTTTGACTTTACTACGCCTTTTTTGTCTGGAAGCTTTGATGGTAGAATATAGCCCACTAGAGGCGGATTCTAAAGCAGAATGGAAAATCGTGGCCATACTCAACATTGCATATGATATGTCAACTATGTGTTTGAGTTTCATCTTAAAACTAATAAGCAGTGTCGACAAGAGGTTTTAAGGTTCTTGAATAGTTCAAAGACGTAGACTCGAGCGAGCGACTAACATACACAACAATACAAAAGGTTTTGTTTGTATCTGGTTATCAGTTGATACACTATTTTCCCTCCAATTTTTTTACATCAGGCTTTTTTCCTCTCGCAATATGGGTCATTAATTACACACATGTCCATCAAAATAATGCAGATGGATTTCAAAACGAAATACAAAACTGGTTTTGCTCTTTATCACCATTCAGTGTCATTATCACAGAATTACGGATCATGAGTTACTACATTTTTCAAAATCAGGTTTGCATAAAATTAAATATATGTCATGTTTACACAACTGAATTGGATCTATAGTATTATAGAAATAATTGTCATTGAAAGAACGGGTGTTTGAGGGATTGAGGATTAGCATGAATTGGATGACTAAAATGCAGCAAATATGAACTTGTTTTCCTAGCATAACTTTAAAACCAAAAACCTTGTGATATGTAGCAGTATATTTCATTTATTAGGTCTCGAAACCAAGAAAATGATAATCAGGCACTTGAGTTTCATTTGAAATGGCATGAACCACGGCCGGCGACACGGGGGGTGATAAGATTAAATTATAATGCTTAAACCATTTGTTTCATTGAAATACGGAACGCAGTTTTACCATTTTTACATAAAAAGCATAAATTATTTAATTCTTCATGTTGTAGCTCTAATTGGTTTTCTCTGAGAAAACCTTGTGTAATTTGAGTAGGAAATAGTTTCACTATGACCGACAATATATGTTTATATCATTGACTGTACACATGTGAATAGAAGCTGATGGATCAATTTTTTATATCGTCTTCAATATCGCGATCTCGGGGGGCGAGTTTGATTTTCGCTTTTTCATTTGCAGAGGATTTAAGAACTTTAATTTAAGTGTCACTTGGCTTTTTAAGGAAATAGTTACCGGGAATTTGGGACCAATGCTCTGAATTATTCTGATGAACAAATAAGTAGATGAATGGCAAAATATTCAACGATTGAAAGTTTGTGTGATGCTATAGGGAGCACGTTCCTGCGCGCATGAAATAGCCCCTCAATGCAAAGCAAGGAAATGTATTCATAAACAATCCATCGTATCCAATGAGCTATTGCTCAAGATTCAATGTAGCTAGATGTATATTATAATCGCTACCAAAGAAACAATCAATACAAGGGTTTCCTAGACAAAACAACAGTTGGATAGGCTCTTATAATGTAAGAAAGAAGGAACGAAACGATTCCTACTTCAATATAGATGTGAATAAAGAATGGCTGTTTTTATTGAACGATATTAATGATGATGATGACATTATAGAGTTGTAATCCCTTGTAAAATAGAAGAAAAGAATAATACACAAGCATCTTGGTCCCAAATAGTAAATAGACTATAAATTTTCACTCCTGTTTATCATATACAAACACATACATGCTAAATTCAGACACATTGTTATGTCCTCAGTTGATATGCACAACATTCAACAAATGAATACATGAAACGTCTGACTACCTCCCCATTTGATATACTTAACACTTTTCACAAAATAAATTCTACAAGTTTATAGTTTATCGTTCCATTGGGGACTGGAGCCAAGGTCATGGATTTCTGAGTAACAAGATGGTGCATTTCAATTTGGTGAGAAAAAATGAGGCACTTTAAATGATTACAAGGACACACGTTTCTGTGTCAGAATAGCCTCAATAGTAAAAATACTAAATTTCTGTACAATTGGGGGGGGGGGGTTAAAGGTAAAGGGGCTTTTAGTTTAGCATCACACAGGACACACATTTACTGCAGTAGATCGCGGAATATCAAGATATTCATCGATTTTTACCTTACATATAACAACTTTCTCTACCCATGTCCATTTTTTTCTCTGAGAGAATATCTGAAGCGCGGCCTTATTGATTCCAATACACAGAAATAAAAAGATGCTACCAAAAGAAACAGATAAAACCAGATGATAATATGCAATGCAATAGTGTACATAACGCCCAATCAATGCTAGTGTCGAAATCACCGGTTTCACAACTATCTCCCATAAGATACATTTCACGATACCCCCGAGAAAACATCGATTTTTTCTAATTGAGTACTAGACTATACCTCTTTAAGAAAAATGCTAAAACATATTTCAGTGTTTTAGATTGTCTTATTTTTTTATAGTGTATCTGCTATATCAGCCTTCGAATATATTTGTTTAAAAACAAATAATCATGAACATTTAATCGTTTGTTTTCGTATCGTATCTAATTTCTGTCATATAATTCACATTATGTTGGGAAAAAGAGGGGTTCGATTAAAGGGGCTAGCAGGAGAGGCCGCGAGAATGGGTGATCGAGTGGAAAATTTTTTATATAGATTTTGAAATTAGTCGATTTGAACATTTATCTATTAAACCTTGTCTTTCAAGAATTCATTCGCATGGATACAATTAGCAGAGTCGTAAAAGCAAAGCAGTTTTGAGTTATATAAGATATGCTCTCCTTTTTCCAATTTTTTTCCTCTCAAGTAATGTGGGTGATTTATGTAAAAATTTGCCATTGTGGAACGCCCATATAGTTCTTAATTTGTATAGACGCCTTTTTACACTTTATGGGCCAGACCTGAGGGAATCCGTATCCCGTCCAAATCGGCAAATGTTGGTAGTTTTTTTCTTCTTCGGATTTTTCCGATTATCTTGCCAAAAACCAACTTTTCGCTTTTCTTTCCCCTTTCTCTTAGTTTTTTATTTTTATTGAAAAAAAGAAAAAATACCTGTTTTTTACATTTAGGTAAAAATACCAAAAAATCATCTCTCTCCTTTGAAGCTTATTTTTTTGTTGAATTTATAGATTTATATTATCAAAGTCGAATTTTATTATATCATATAATAAAAAGCAATCAATATGAATCGACAAAATCAATTTTTGCAGCAACAGCAACAGCAACAGCAACAGCAACAACAGCAGCATCAACAGCAGCAACAGCAGCAACAGCAGCAATTTCAGCAGCAGATGCAACATCCTTCAGCCGCTCAACCAACCCCACCTTCAATTGAACCAGTACAAAAGAAACGTACCGCATCCAAGTTGATTTCAAATAATAACAGAAAGAGGTCTCACTCATCATCTTCATCGACTTCATCATCTGGGTCTCCTTCCACTAACATCTTCTTGACTGCAAGCTCTTCTGATTCTGGTTCATCAACAATGGCATCCATCAAAAGTACCCCTACAAAGAAAAAGAGAAATGCCTCCACATTGAATAGTAGTAGCACAGACTCCTCATCCGCAGAGAGTGGCGCTTCATCTACCCCGATGCCATCGAAAACATCAGGCTCGTCCTTTGCTTCGCCAAACATCATCCCACCTCGATTGACAGCGCAAAGAAGCGTACCGGCATTTTTGAACAAACTTTACAAGTAAAATCGTTATTCTGACAAAAGTATAAATATACTAAAAAAAAACTTTTATATAGTATGGTCGAAGATTTTTCAACGACTGATTTGATTCGATGGTCAAACGACGGCACATCTTTTATAGGTAGAGAGCATATCCATCGTCTGTCTACTGTCCACCCAAACTAAATTTGTAAAAATAGTGGAAAAGCATGAAGAATTTGCCAAAACCGTCCTACCAAGATTCTACAAGCACAACACATTTGCATCTTTTGTTCGACAATTGAATATGTACGATTTCCATAAAGTGCCACATCTTCAACAAGGCGTGTTGATAGCCGAAGCAGAGCATGAAATTTGGGAATTCAGCAATCCTCATTTTCAGCGTGGTCGTCCTGATCTCTTGGTGCTCGTCACCCGTAAGCGTAACAGAGACAGAGATGCCATCGACAGCGAAACTGTTACTTTATCTACTCTGGCTCAAGATTTAGATGCACTCAAGAAGCACCAGTCTACCATCGGTACAGAATTGAACGATCTGCATCGAGATAACGAAATTCTATGGCAGGAAACACTCAATGCCAGAGAAAAGTATCAGAGACACCAAGAAGCTATCGAGAAGATCTTGCAATTTCTCACCGCCATCTTTGCCAATGATAATTTAGCTATCAGTGCTAGTACGTACAAAACGAAGCTCACTATTTCAAATGTATATTTAACCATATTTGTAGATAACGCAGATTTATTCCCAAAGGCTTTAATAGAAGAAGCAGCGTCGCTAGCTGGCATGACATCGAAATTAGATAGCGCAAAGAAATCTGCAGCACCTTTGCCTAATTCACTCGCTTCATCTGCGTTGTCCAACATCTTGTCATCTGTACTGAGACTTTACTCAAACAACTCACCACCCAGTCCAGAACTATCACAATCTATGATTAACAATCATCACAATAGACAACATCATCAACAGCAGGCTTCGTCATCGGGAGCAAAAGAGAGTTCATCCATGTCTTCTTCCTCAGACTCGTTCTATCCTCAATCGCCCAGAGAAAAGAAGGAAGATGCTACACCCCCTTCTCTTGTCGATTTTTCAAAAACACTTAACACAGCCACCCGCTCTGCCCAGAATATTACGCAAGATATCGATATGTTGCAAGTCAATATTGAGTCACTAGCCAACGACTTGGGCATTGACCCCAACCAGTTTGATGACGATGCGGTCTCAGAGCGTTGTTTCCAGGACAATGGGATGATGAATAATAATGACAGCGTTAGTACCGCAGACCCTTTCAAGATCTACAATGACATGAATAGCGATCAGAATATGAATCAGTTTACGTACAGTCTGCAACAGCCTCCCTCCTCTCTACAGTACCAGCAACAAAGACATCATCAAAAGCAACAGCAACCGCAACAACCGCAACGAAGACAGCAACCACAGCCTCAGCAACAATCACAACAGCAGACAGAGCAAATGGGCAGACCTTCCATGGCATCTCAGATGCAATCATACACTCAACCCTCTCCGTCGAGAAACAACTCCATGTCTCACATGCAGCCACCGCAACAACCGCAACCACCGTATCCTATGCATTACAATACAAACAATAGGGATCCTAAAATCAATGTCAATCAGACACCTGATGGAGGCTATCGCCAGTTCATTTCAACGATGAACTATTCAGACTCGTTTGGACCTAACTATCCTAGTGAATCAGAGGCATCCAATTACACACCTACAACACCTGCTGGTCCATCACCACACACCTTACAACAAAATAGGAGCTACTTTAGTTGCGGTAATGATGATATGATGGCAGCAGCAGCAGCAGCAGCAGCAGTTGCCGTTGGTGGTTCTACTGGAGTTTCTGCTTCCAACCCTGATAATAATGCCGAACCTTACAACATGTACACTGCACCAGCTGATTTGAACAGACCATCTTACTACAATGGCATGCCATCTGGAGAAACCTATAACGATAACACTTAAAAAACTCGGATACCTCTTGCTTTTTTTTTTTTTACTATGAACATTTGCTAAATGTTCAGATATAATTTTTTTATATATTCATACCCTTCATCCCACTTAAAACGCCCCTCACACACACGCGCACACATTATATCTTCTCTCCCCCTTTTTTTTTATCTCGAAAGAAGATTTGTATTGTTGTTTAATTATTTCATTTGCTTATAAATTATAGTATGCATTTCTTTTTTTTTATTTTCTATCTTATTTATGACCTATGCCGCTTTTCCCTTTATTTGATTTTAATGTGTAGATATTTCTTAATGTGTGTCGCTCTCGCTCCTTTTTTTTTCCCTATATGTAAATAGCTATAGTATTTATAAACCAAGAAGTATCAATAAATGGAAAAAGTTTTATCACATCAACTATAAGGCTCTCTAGATAATAATATAGTACGAGAGCATTTAATGAAATCCCCATCTGGTGATAAAATTTTGCTTTGTTTTAGTGTCATCAAGTGCGTCTTTACATATTTAGTAAAGTCTACATTGCACATCTGTAACAGAAAAGTATGGGTTAGTCCCCAGTGATGCCTTGGCAGCTTTTTCAATCTTATCATTTTAAAATGCTAGCTATTACAAAGAAGCTGAACATCATCAGACATTAGATCGGCAATTATGATCACTTCCATGCTAAAAACAATAGAGCAGTGTTATTACTACGCACAATGCACCCAGCTACCTACGTACCAACGACGTCAGTCATCTCTTATCATCCTCCCCCCAAAAAAACTTAATATCACGGGAACTCATGTTCAATATTGCAAATACAGGGTTTGTCAATAGAATCAAGCTCTGTGACATGAGCTAAGTCCCATATTACATCCAAACGAGGCAACATCAGCTGCAAACAGGCCATGACAAATAGCCAATCTATTCCTTTTTTCAGACACTTTGACAAGAATTTGACCAGCTTGCGTCGAAATAGTGCCATTTGATGTGGATCTTGAATGAGTATTCTTGAATATTTATATTTTAAGGAATTGCGAGGAGTACACTTGAGATGTACATCTTACGAACCAATTCAGCTTGTATCCAGATTTAACGCAATTTCATACAGCAGCTGTTTTTATCATTATATGAAGAGCTATCTTGAAGGTAAAGTGTCTTTTGACAGTTTATGGATTTTTTTTCGGAATTATGCCCATTCAAAGCTGAACACTGCATGGCAGGTGCCGTTTTTCATGCCTTGAATAATCATGAACGAAAACACTGCGATTTTACATATATTTTGGCGGTGAGCCAGGCTGACTGGCGTTGCCGTATACGAAAATGTCCAAAAAAGCAAAATAATGTATTCAAGCTAAGCGATAGTCCTTTCACATTCATGATCCTCGTATAATTAGCATCCCAATCATTACTGTCATCATTAGAAAGGCATTTGGGTCAGCCAGCAGCAGAGTTCGCTACCGCCACCGCCAAACCTAATTCAAACTTAGCTTATTTTTTCTGTTCAATACTGGACAGATTCTGTCTTTTGTCGACTTCTTTAATCTACTTTGTAGCAATCTCTTTCGCATGTCAGACACTAGTCAAGTACATCAACGTTCCTCGCAAGCTGACACTGCGGCTCCACTGTTGTGGACTCATGTGGTTAACTCACGCCGCAAAGGCAACAACAGACAACAACAATCCATCGTCTCTTTCAACCCCACCATCGTCAAACGACCTGTTACTGAAGCAGAAGCCTCGCAACAGGCCATCAATGGGGATACTTCGCCACCACCTCAGGCGGTCATCCGTCCATTCCTCAAAGGCGTGGAACAGGATTCCGTCTTCATCGATCTGACACCTATCAAGGATCGCAGTCTCTTGAACAAGGCTCTTCTTCAATTCAACGAATCCTCCAATGCTGAAGACATGTATGAAGAATTCCTTGGATACAGGAAACAACCTCGACACTACCTCAACCATGCCTTCTTGGAAACCATGTGGCTGCCCAACAGCGGAGGTCGTAAGACTCTCATTGAAGAAGGTATTACTCTAGAAGATGGCATCTTTGTGAAAGGGTTTGCCTCGTACCATGCCGATGCTAGGATTGTGAAACTGACTCTGGAGAATCTCCCTTTCTTGCCTGCCCTTCAGTTGAAGGAGGAAATGGCTGCCCGTCTTTCTGCGTTCGGGGATGTCTTGGATCACGGCATCTCGAGAACTGATGGGATCTATCAAGGAGAAGGCTATGCTACTCTTAATCTAACGGTTCCTTCCAGCCCTGATTATGAATGTCAATAGTTACATCCCGATGGTAAATCTTGCCCTGGTCATCGCCATTTGGAGAAACTCAGTCGTGTCATTGTCTGAAATTTGACAGCTTCGGCTCAACGAAAAGTTTTACTCCAATGGGATCAAATGCCGGCTTTCTGTCATAATTGTCAAAGCTCTGAACACTGTCGGGCTGATTGTCCTGACTACAAGGAGTGGGTTCGCTGCCACCATTGCAATGAAACTGGACATGTGGTGAAGAACTGCAGTCGCAATGACAGCCCAAACAAGGTCCGTGCGGTGGAAAACACTCCTGCCAAACCCCGAAAGGGCTCTCAGGTGGCCAAAGAGGGTAAAAAGGGTACTCAAGGTGGCTCCAAAGTAACTCCTGGTGGTGCTCCAGTTGGAAACAAAGGTAATGCCCAAGGAAAAGGCCAGGATGTTGCATCTGGTGGACCCCAGGGTGGTTCCAATAATCGAACTGCTGCTACCCAGCAAGGTAGCTCTCAAGGTGACGATGACAGTCAAACAGGTGCTAGAAAGCAGGCAGTTGATAGAGATGTTCAAATGGATGATCTTCCAGAACTCCAAGTTAAAGAAGTCGATGGGAAAGAAGCTTCCAATGATATTGTTATGTACGACTCTTCTATCCATTCTGCTAATGAAAGAGAGGAGCGCCCTGAATGCCCTGCGAAGAAGATCGGTAAATTTAATGGCGCGGATGATATTAGCTCTGCCAAACAACAAGCTGCATCTAATGAAGTAGAGACTGGACACCAACTCGGCTTAACAGGCCCTCCTTCACCTCCCCAACATTAATGTGATTAATCAGCAAAATACATTGAAAATAGCCACCCTCAATTGCCGTGGCCTAAAAAACAGATAACACCAAAAAAAGACAACAATGTATAAGATATCTTCGAACATTAGGATATGACATCTTAGTACTTCAAGAAACACATGCAACAGACAACACATTTATAGACATACTCAACACTTAATTTACTTGCAAGTCGAGTCTTTGAACTCAACATTGCGGCATCATTTCCCTCAGCACTCATTACACACTCAAACACATTTCAGAAGGCATTGATGGGGGTCGATTTATCTTGGCTTCCCTTCATCTTACTCAAGACTTGGAAACTTCACCCAATTTACCACCAATAGCAACAATACTTAATATTTACGGTCGTGCGTCCGCTCACACCGACCGATCAGCATTCTATTCAGAACTCATTGACACACAAATTGTCAAAGATACTATTACTAATACAACAAGCACCACCTTTATCATGGGAGACTTCAACTACCAGTACAAGGATCGTCGAGTCGATGGCACCCTCACCAGTGCGCCAGTGGAATGGACCGATCTACTCGATGACTACTTTATTGACGTTTTTGGGAATGATAAACATAACACTTGGCATAGTAGAAGCAATGCAGGGATTCTGGATTACATCTTTTGTAGTTCAAACGCTCATCATTTAGTCACTAGCACTAACCAGCAGTATCTATCTCCTGCCTGGACCGAACATGAACTCTTGGGATTCTCTTTTCGATTTCAAGATGCGAATGGCCGTGGCCCTGGTAACTGGAAGGCAAATCCGTTCTTGGCTCGCAACAAGGCATTTAGGAAGGCATTGGCAGAATTCCTCATTGATAGTGAGGCACGTCTGGCAGAGATCAAGCGTTTATCCACTCCACAACAACAATGGGATTGGATCAAAGCCGAAGTAAAGATGTTTATCAAACAATATCAAATGGAGGATTTGAACTGGCGGAAACAGCAGCTACACCAACTGCTATCAAAGAGAAACAAGATGATACGGCATAAGAAGACAAGAGGCTTGGTTTTTCAAGGCTTGGACATGGTTAATTAACAGATCCAATCTCTCCAGCACTCTCTTGCAGAAATAGAGATCTTGAAGGCAGGTAAATTTTGGCGGGAACATGGTGAGAAATCTCCAGGCTTCCTGAAGCGCTCTGTGGTGTCTCGAGAAAATTGTCGTTCAATTGCGGAACTCACGAACCCTACGACTGGCGATCTATGTCAAGATCAATCTAGCATCTCCAACATTGCTACCAACTTTTACACCTCACTTTTCACACCGGAGGCTTTGGATTCAACAGCCCTCAGTGTTATAATTCGCAACATCCCAGGTCATTTGAAGCTCAACAGCGATTAGCAGGAATCATTGATGATGCCTACTGATGTGGAGGAACTCTTGACCGATAGCAAGCAGGCTCGTCGTTTGAGTAGTCCTGGACCTGATGGATTACCTTATGAAATCCTGCACTTGGTAATGAAATTTCCACCGTTCCATGATCTCATCCAATTAGTCTACAGTAAAGCTTTAAAGAAGGGTAAGTTCCCGCCACATTGGAAAGAATCCGTTATGTGTCTGCTTTACAGGAAAGGCGATCCAGCTGAAATGAAGAACTACCGTCCTCTGTCTCTGGCTAATTCAGACTACAAGCTCTTCACTCGCAATATCAACCGTCGAATCATGGAAGTCTCTTCCAACTTGACCAGCCGACATCAGCTTGGATTTATTCCTGGTCGATTCATTGCCAAAAATGGCATGATCTGCCAGCTGCTTATGGAAGATGCACAACGTAAATGGTCTATTGCTGAACAACAGGAAAATGATCCTAAGCACCTTGGATTATGACATCGGTCTTCTTCTGGACCAAGAAAAGGCATACGATCGGGCGAACTTGGAATATTTGACGAAGGTACTGGGGAAATTTGGGTTTCCTCGCCCTCTGATCAAGTGTATCTCCAAGTTGATGGGTGACAACCTCATACGTATCAACATCAATGGTCATTTGTCAACTGAAGTGGCGAAACTTCGTGGCTTAAAGCAAGGGGAACCTCTCTCTCCTGTACTGTACAACTTGGCATTTGAACCTTTTCTGCTTGCAATCCTGCATGATCGTCAATTTCAAGGCTACTTGATGGGTACTGAACGAACAAAACTCCTGTGCTATGCTGATGACGCTTTGGTGTTTATCCATGACTCCAATGATTTGACTCGGTTACAGCTCCATATGGCTCGTTACTGTGCTGCCTCCAACGCCAAGTTCAATAATGCCAAGGTGGAAGCCTTTTCAATGTCTGGTCGGGATACGAGGGATATGTGGGAGGGTTCATTATCTCAAATGGGCATCACACATCTCCATTCTGTTGAGGACGGTGAACCGTTAACCTATCTGGGATTTCCCCTCGTCCAAAGTAGGATACAGCGTGTTCATTTTATGGGTGCTTTGGTAACCAAGATCAAAACTGCCATCCAGATTCATTCTGGTCGCTCCTTGTCGGTCGTTGGAAAGGCTACAATGCTGAACTCTCTTTTGCTGTCCAAGCTATGGTACATCCTGCGTGTTACGCCTTTGACTCAAGCTGATTTCAAGCAGCTGCGCTTTCTGGCTCTTCAGTTCTTGAGAAGAAACATCTTCCTCGTCATCCCTTGGAAGGTGTGGACTCTACCAAAGGACAAAGGTGGTCTCGGTGTTGTAGACATCCAAATACAAGCTTCGGCTTTGTATTTTCGTTGGCTTCACCCACTACTGGTTCAAGATCAAGATGTCATTGATTCCCATCCTGTGTTGTACCTCTTAAGCTACCACATCTGCAATGTCAATGGTTATCCCTACCATCAAATCCCGCTGCTATTTCCCTCTGCTCGGCGCACCAAGGGGTTGAAAAAGCAACGCACGGGAACTGTCGATATGTTATATCGAGCAGTTGACTACCTTCCCAAGTCGTTTGATGCGGCTTTCTATGTTCCTCCATCCTCCTCACTGGTTGTTCCTCTTAAAGTCAAAGAGATGATGTTTTCTGATGTATTTCAGTACGATGCCCGACTTAACTTTGTACATTGGAAAGACACTTGTGACCCTTCCCTCCTCAGTTGGAAGCGAGCCCGTTCAACAGTGTTCAGAGGCCTCGCATCTGGCACTCTTAAATTCCAGCCCTACTTTCTCCCAGTGTATAACCCAGCCCCCCTTGTGGATCCTGGAGTCTCTTTTGCACCGCTGGTGGATCAATTTTGTCTGCACGATGGCCAACCCCTTGGAAATGCTCAAGCTTCGGCCAAAACATCTCGTCTGTCTGTGCTGTCGTCGATGGAACAACCCTTGGTCTTGCAGAATATCTCTGCTTCTCATTGGAAATTCTTTTGGTCCCTGTCTCTTACCTACATTCAACGTAATGTGATATATCGGCTCATCACAGGCTGTATCCCTTCTCGAAGCAGATTACACTACATGATGCCTGGAGTCTTCGAGTCTCACAATTGTTCTGTCTGCTTGTCTCCCAATGAAACTGCCAGCCACCTGCTCTTTGACTGTCCATCCAAAGAAAAGGTATGGCAAGGCGTCATTTTTGAATTCCTATGGCCCACCACGTCCATCACTGACATCAAAGAGGCTCTTCTGTCCCTGAACTTTTCGGATATCTGGTACTCCCAAGTCAAAGGCATCCATCCATACAGAGTCCTACTCATCACCCTGTCTCAAATATGGCTAGCCCAGATGCGCTTTGTTTTTGACAACATCATCCTTGTCCCTGAGGCAATTCTGGTGAATATCCGCTCTACTGTTCGCCAGACAGTGGATGAGGATCAAATCCACTCCCTCTTGTAGTTTAGATAGTTTCGATAGTTCTGTTTAGGTTAGTTTAGTTAATATTTTACCTTCTTTTTATTATTTTCTTTTCAATTGCACCCGCCCCTTCACTTCGACCCATTACTTCTAGTGTACGCGGCTCAATCAATAAACAAAATTTAACAAAAAAAATCTATTTTGTGATATTCGATTATATAAATTGTGATAATCACCCTATGTTTTCTAATACATCCTCGAAATACTTTTCAAGACGCTTCCAATGGCACTAATTCTAATAGGTGATTTGACTGAATTTATTGAGAAATTTGGTCAATATAGGCTTTCAGTTTGAGTTGTGGTGTAATTTATTGATTTGCATTACTGAGGAATAGTTGTAAATTTGTGCAGTCCAGAGAATGATTTCGAGCTTTACCAAAATCAATATGCCTCCTATTCAAATTAGAAGTTGCACAGACTGCAGAACTGCCCTCTTCAAGAATTTCAGCTATCCATCCACCAAGATGTCATTCACGCTGTGTAAATAAAAGCTGTAAAGCAAAAACATTGCCAATTTTGACAGCTTTCAAGCCTTCATATATTGACATGTAGACCTTTCTGAGCCACCGGAATGACACCAAATTGTTGTATCCGAGTAGTAGTAACTTCCTGACACCGTTACTCAACTTTTTGGGACCAAAAAAAACATAGCCAAAGTTCCATTAAAAACCATGAGGGGTACCTCATGGTTTTTTTACGAAGATTAAACGGTCGCCTTTTTCACCTTGAAAATAGAGACTTTTACTATGGTATACGAGCCTTTCAGCACTTCGGGTGGTTTCCTGACCTACGCTTCGCTTCGGTGGAAACCAACCTACGTTCAAACGGCTCGCGCTGCCGCGGGCCTTTGGCTAATATCCCAAAATTAATATAGCTAAAATGTTAGAAGAGGAACCCTGATTGTTGATTGATATATAATCACTAATCATATGAGTGTTTATGCTTCGGATGGTTCTCACCGAAGCGTAGCGAAGGTAGAGAACCAACCTGCGCAGCGGCAGCTCGTGCTACTGATTGCTCTTGCGTATTTTATCAAAATACTGCTACTTTCATTTTGACCCTCCACTTACACATAGTAACCCTTCATATTATCTGTGGATCTGATTCTTATGTGATGTTCTACATCCATATACACGTAGCTACTTCATATACGGGCAAGCAGCATACTGGTATTCCCACTTTTTAGTCCTTAGTGTCCCTAATACAGCAAAATTTGAATGCATTTGAGCTGAATTTTCTTGCGTTCAAGGCCGTTTTAGATCGTCAGAATAGCCCCAAATGGTTGCTTTCATCTGGCAGTTACTTTCTGACACTTTTGCTCGACTTTTTGGGGACCAAAAAAAACATGGTCAAAAATCGACCAAAAAGCATGAGGTATCCCTCATGGTTTTCATCGAAAATCAAACGATCGCATTTTTCATCTTGATAATGGAGACTTTTACTATGGTATATCTTGAATCAAAATGTTTCTATCAATCCAAAGCAACCTCTGAAATTATCTTTGTGGGACTTTGATATGTAAAATTTCGACATTTTGGCCATAAATCTCTTTTCATATTTTTACAAATCATTCAATAAGTGAATTCAAAACATCTATTTTACTTAGTACCATTGGAAGCGCCTTGAAAAGTACTCCAGGAAAGTTTAAGGAAGCATGGGGTGATTATTATACTTCACTTAGTCGAATCTGCAAAAATAGCTCGATCGAGTCCAGAATCATCAAAATTTGTCCAATCTAGAACAGACTATGATTCTGGGTTTGAATTAATTTTGGTTGGTAGGGCCAGCTGGAAAACTCATGCCCTTTTCATAAGGCAATACAGTAGTAAATGCCCTTGAAGCGTATAGAAAGTAGGTGGAAGGTCATAGCACTATCGTTTAAAATGATATTTTATTGCCTTCTATATCGTTCATAATGACATTTTATTGCATTCTATATTTAATAACGTTAGTCTGGACATTGACAATGCATGGGTTGCATAAAATGTCTGCAGTAAGTAATGAAATCTCTGAGGCTCTGAGACGTCGCTCAAATAAAACATTGACAGCATTGAGCAGAGGAAAGAGGGTAGAAACAACAGTGGTTTTTGTTGATTGATTGTAAAATCATTATTCTCATATGAGCCAGGTCTGATAGATGCCTTGAAACTCAGGTTCCATATTAGGATTGTAAAGTGCAAAAGGACTGAACATTTATTATGTTATGATATGAGCCAGGTCTGATAGATGCCTTGAAACTCAGGTTCCATATTAGGATTGTAAAGTGCAAAAGGACTGAACATTTATTATGTTATGATATTAATTCAAAACGTTTCTCTCAATTCAAAGCAATTTCTGAAACCACTTTTCTGAGGTTTTCATATGCAAAATATGGCTATTTTCGCTAAAAACCTCATTTCATGGTTTGTCAAATTGCTCAATAGTTTCATTCAAAGCACATGTTATAATTAGTGCCATTGAAAGCGTCTTGAAAAGTACTCCAAGAATGTATTAGGAAGCGTAGGGTGATCCTCACAATCAATATAGTCGAATCTCGCAAAAGAGTTCGATCAAGTCGAAAAAGGACGATATCTGACCAATCTTGAACAAAAAAATTGGCTGCGTTTGAATCAATTTTGGCAGACTTCGCTGATGTTGGCTTACCCGAATGCCTTTCTGATGATGACAATGATAATTGCGATATTGACCCAATGGAGGCCATATATTTGAAAGAGCAGTTACTTAGTCCAAATATATGTATATACATTTACTTTTGTTCAGAGTTTTTCCCTGTAAAAGTGTCTTCTGCAATGACAATAATCTCTCACTATTAATTGAATGTCTAAGATTTATGTGATATCTCTGAATTGAAATGTCTTCGGCGAGAGCCCGCAGGGCAACGCTGTCATCCAGCGTAGCAATATCAATTGGCTACTTGTCCTATACAAGAGATCAAATACATTGTTAGATTGAGTTGACATGTCAGGATCGAAAAAAAAATGTATGGCGAATGAAGAGGATATTTTGTTGGTACGCTAAGAACATTTTGTTGGTACTTTAAGAATATCTTGCTAGTACGTTAGCCAAAGTATGTCTATAGAAAACGATATTTTGTTCGTACACTAACCAAAGTATGTCCATAGGAAATCATATTTTGTTGGTATGTTAAGCAAAAAAGGAAATTTTTTGTTGGTACGTTAGCCAACCCCAGTACCCCTCATGGTTTTTGGACAATTTTTGGCCGTTTTTTGGGTCCTCAAAAAGTTGAGCAAAGGTGTCAGGAAGTTACTGCTGCTTGAGCACGATTATTTGGTGTCATTCCAGTGGCTCAGAAAGGTCTACATGTCAAGATATGGAGGCTTGAAAGCTGTCAGATTTGGCTGTGTTTCATGCATTTGATTGTCGATAAACGTGTTCTTGTTATGTTACAAAGGCGTAAAGGTATTGTAGGTATTAGTCTAGGTACAGAGTATGCTGTCACATCCAAATATTCAGCTGGAAGTATCAAGTTGAATGGCATTTTTGCATCGCTGTATCATAGCGCAATGATACAGCTTATGAACAGAAGACGGTAGTGCTCAAATGCGTCCAAACTAGTTGCATCTTGCTATAAAAGTAAGGATTAAAAGAGAAATTAAATGTAATATGAATACAACAGCAGCCTGTACATCTTGGCTTAGATACCTGCCATCAAACTCTGTGCAGTTATTGACTTGTGTCTGTAATTGACGGAACTTCAAGGCGTTGGTTGATGTTCAGCTCTTTAATGGTTTGGCTATGAGTTGACTTAACATAGCGTTATATAAAGATACATAATGTGGCACAACATGAGTCAGTTCCTGATATTTCCGATGTCGTCTTGAGAGCTCAAGCCGTTTAATTACATACAGTGTCTACTTTGAGGCCACATTACATCATATACGAGAACTGCCACTATGCTGTATATATATATATATATATGCGCTGCATTATATTCATCCTTGGCGCACGTCTATTTTGAGATGCTTTCAACTGATTTTCTCATAACGCAATACGTGCATTAAAATGCTTGTAAAGCTGATGGTTTCAATGTCAATTAAATAAAAGACATCATATGCAAAGCGTAGAGGGACCTTGATTTAATTTTCATTAGGAGCCATTAAAATGTACTACCATCGCATCGACTGCAAAACTATATTTATTATGAAGGAAAGTTTTATAATATGTGAAGAGAAGATAGAATACAGTGGCACAGTTCTGTCTTTATTCAACTGCATATGGCCATCTTTCTCTGGAGCCTATCGTCCAATGTTAAATCATTCGTACCCTTACACCACTAGAGATCAGCTAGGGATAAATACTCTATAGATTTAAAGTTTCAAGTATCACGAAAGATTAGATTATTGCAGCCTATAGCAATAAGACGTTGGCGGCAATGACATGTCGTTAGTCAACACGCAGCTGATAACACTTGATTGAACACTGATATACCTCCGTATCACTGTGCCTCATTGGCATTTGCTTTGGTCTTCTTACCTAGCGATGCATACTACCCAAATGCACTTGTTTGCACCTTTTCAGCAGTGGCATCTAGAAGAAGCGTGGGTACTTTTTGGAAGTACAAGAACACAACATTTAGCAAATGAGATCTTTATCATGATTGAAACGCAGGTGCTAGATTTGATAGGCTATCGAAATCTTGTGTTATCATCGAAACTGATTAGCTATTTGTTTCTCCTCCTCGTAATAAATCTACAAGGCCTCTTGTGGGTATCTGGCTATCGGATCAGTTCGGTAACGGTAAACTTAATGCTCTACTACGACATGTGATGAGTGTCAAAGGAAGAGAAAACACGCATCCTGGTTTTTCAACACGAACAGGAATCTCAACATCTTGTGCAACATGCATGGCAATGCACCTCGCTATTGTTTTCATGTCAATGTTACCTGGCTTATTGAAAGGTTTGGTAAAATGCAGGTCTGTGGGTTGTCTCACTTTTTTTTTTTTTTTTTTTTTTTTTTTATCTCTATAAAATGTCTCGCATTTTTTTTTCCAACTTTCCTCGTCTTAAATACAAACCTTCTTGCTGTTCTTTTTTCTTTTCTTTTCTATTCCTTTTCATATACTAAACTTACATTAAGACGCAAATTCATATGACAAACTCATCATGGGCCTCCGCTATTCCTCAAGCTCAGGGACTCTATAACCCAGATCTCGAAAAGGATGCTTGCGGTGTTGGTTTTATCGTACATGTAAAGGGTTATCGCTCGCACAAGATTGTCAGTGATGCCAATGATGTGCTGTGCAATATGACACATCGTGGTGCCAGTGGTGCTGATATTAGGGATGGCGATGGTAGTGGTATCCTGACTGGTAAGTTGGACGAGCTTCTGTCAATGGCATTGATTCATTTAACACATCAAACAGCTATTCCCCACCAATTCTTTGTCAATGAGACATCTCGTGAGCTAGGCATCACTCTGCCCAAAGAAGGTCATTATGCGGTAGGCAATCTGTTTATGAAGGATGTTGAGGAGTGTCAGCAGGTCTTTGAGAAATTAGCCGACGCTCTGGATCTCAAGATTCTTGGATGGCGTCAAGTCCCAGTGGATTCCACCATTCTAGGCCCCAGCGCCAAATCAAAAGAGCCTGCCATCTTTCAGCCTTTCATCGTGCTCAAGAATAGCAACGCATTCGACGAAGCTTATTTCGAGCGTCAATTGTTTGTCTTGCGCAAACATGCCACCCATACGCTTACCATGAAAAAGTGGTTTTATATCTGTTCATTGTCCAATAAGATTATTGTTTACAAGGGTCAATTGACTACGAAGCAAGTGTTCTTGTACTATTATGATCTGGTTAACGTTCAATATACCTCTCATTTGGCTCTGGTCCATTCTCGATTCTCTACAAACACATTTCCCTCCTGGGATCGTGCTCAACCTATGCGTTGGTCTGCTCACAATGGTAAGTTATCCATTCAGTTGGATGAATCGCAATACTCATATCAATAACAGGTGAAATCAATACATTGCGTGGTAACAAGAACTGGATGCGATCTCGTGAAGGCGTCATGACATCTGACAAGTTTGGCAATGAGTTGGATCTCCTGTATCCTATCATTGAAGAAGGCGGTTCTGATTCTGCTGCATTTGACAACGTGCTGGAGTTGTTGGTGGTCAATGGTGTCTTGACCCTGCCTGAAGCTGTCATGATGATGGTTCCCGAAGCCTGGCAAAACAACCCTGACATGAACCCCGAAAAGAAGGCGTTTTACGAATGGGCTGCTTCTTTAATGGAGCCTTGGGATGGCCCTGCCCTATTCACTTTCTCTGATGGCCGTTTTTGTGGCGCTTCTCTTGACCGCAATGGCTTGCGTCCTTGTCGTTTCTATCTGACCTCAGATGACATTATGGTCTGTGCCTCTGAAGTGGGCACCATGTTTGTTGAACCTGAAACTGTGGTGCAAAAGGGCCGTCTTCAACCTGGTCGTATGTTATTGGTGGACACTGTCAAGGGTATCGTTGTGGACGATACACAATTGAAGTTGGAAACAGCTAGCAAGAAGCCGTTTGTCGAATGGATCAAGAATAACAAGATCAGCTTGCAAGATGTTGTCACTGCCACCAAGAGCAATGCTAAAACGATTCAACTGGATGATACAACCATCAGAACAGATCCTCGCTTAAAGGCATTTGGCTATACGCTGGAACAATTTAATCTGCTCATGCTGCCCATGATCTCCAGTGGTAAGGAGCCCGTCGGTTCTATGGGTAACGATACAGTACTTGCCTGTTTATCTGAGCAGCCTCGTCTCTTGTACGAGTATTTCCGTCAACTCTTTGCCCAGGTCACCAATCCCCCTATTGATCCCATTCGCGAAGAAATTGTCATGTCTCTTGAGTGCTATGTGGGGCCTGAAGGCAATATCCTTGAAATGGATGAATCTCAATGCCGTAAATTGACCTTGTCATCACCCATCTTGAAGATGGAAGAACTGGAGGCTATCAAGGCCATGTCAAGCGTGTTCTCTGACTGGAAAGTAGCTACCATTGACATTACCTTTGACAAAGCAGATGGTGTGCAGGGCTATATCAATGCTCTGGAGCGTGTATGCGAACAGGTCTCGTCGTCTATTGATCAAGGCTACAAGGTGGTTGTTTTGTCTGATCGCGCTGTCTCTGCTGAACGCGTATCCATCTCATCTCTCATCGCTGTGGGTGGTGTGCATCATCATTTGGTCAGAAACAAGAAGCGTAGCCGCGTCTCTCTCATGGTTGAAACTGCTGAAGCGAGAGAAGTCCACCATTTCTGTGTTCTCCTGGGCTACGGTGCTGATGCTATTTGTCCCTACCTCGCCATGGAGTCTATGATGAAGCTTCACAGAGAGCATGCTGTTCGTGAAGGGCTGACTGTTGACAATCTTATTTTCAACTATATTGATGCGGTGAATCACAGTATCTTGAAGGTCATGAGTAAGATGGGTATTTCTACTTTGGCTTCCTACAAGGGTGCTCAAATCTTTGAAGCTCTTGGTGTGGATGACTCAGTCATCAGTCGCTGCTTTGCTGGTACTGCCTCGCGTATTAAGGGTGCTACACTCGACATCTTGGCCTTGGATGCTTTGACACTGCACGAAAGTGCCTGGCCCACACGTAACGTTGTTCAGCCTGTTGATCTGCCTGAATCTGGTGAATACCATTGGCGTGATGGTGGTGAAGCTCACATTGCTGAACCCTCTGGTATTGCCAACTTGCAAGATGCTGTCCGTCGTAAGAATCAAGACTCTTACGATGCCTATGCCAAGAACGCGCATGCTGCCATCAAGAAGTGTACTCTTCGTGGCATGCTCGAATTCAACTTTGAAGGTTGCAATGAGATTCCTATTGAGCAAGTGGAGTCTTGGGATTCTATTGTCAAGCGTTTTGTCACGGGTGCTATGTCCTACGGCTCCATCTCTTGGGAAGCACACACTGCTTTGGCAGCTGCCATGAATAAGTTGGGCGGTAAATCCAACACAGGTGAGGGCGGTGAGAAGCCTGAAAGATCTGAAAAGGAGATTGACGGTGTCACGCTTCGTTCTGCTATTAAGCAGGTTGCCTCTGGTCGCTTTGGTGTCACTAGTTTCTATCTGGCTGATGCAGATGAACTTCAAATCAAGATGGCTCAAGGTGCTAAGCCTGGTGAAGGTGGTGAATTGGCTGGTCCCAAGATTTCCGAAGAAATTGCCTCTACTCGTAAAACCACTCCTGGCATTGGTTTGATTTCTCCTCCTCCTCACCACGATATCTATTCGATTGAAGATTTGAAGCAGCTGATTTACGATCTCAAATGTGCTAATCCTCGCTCTCGTGTGTCTGTCAAGCTTGTATCCGAAGTAGGTGTTGGCATCGTTGCTGCTGGTGTTGCCAAGGCTAAGGCAGACCATATCTTGATTGCTGGTCATGATGGTGGTACTGGTGCCTCGCGTTGGACGGGTATCAAGTATGCTGGTCTTCCCTGGGAGTTGGGTCTTGCTGAAACACAACAGACATTGGTGCTCAATGATTTGCGTGGCCGTGTCATTGTTCAGACAGATGGTCAAATCAAAACAGGCCGTGATGTGGCTATCGCTTGTTTGCTGGGGGCTGAAGAATGGGGTTTCGCCACTACGCCTCTCATTGCCCTTGGCTGTACCATGATGAGAAAGTGTCACTTGAATACATGTCCTGTAGGCGTTGCTACTCAAGACCCTGAATTAAGAAAGAAGTTCCAAGGCAAACCTGAGCATGTCGTCAACTTTTTCTACTACGTTGCTGAAGAGCTTCGTTCCATCATGGCTAAGCTTGGTTTCCGCACAATCAATGAGATGGTGGGCCATGCTGAATACCTCAAGGTCAATGATTCACTTCGTACCTTCAAAACTTCCAATATCGACCTGACGCCTGTGTTAACTCCTGCTAGTGCTTTGCGTCCCGGTGTCGCCACGCACAATGTCACCAAACAAAGGCATAAGCTCCATGTGCGTCTTGATAACTATTTTATTGATGAGGCTGAACCTGTGTTCTCTGGCGTTGCAAAGACCGTCGATATCGAAGCTCAAGTGGTCAATACGGATCGTGCCTTGGGTGCCACTCTTTCTTATAATGTCTCTAAACGTTTTGGTGAGAAGGGCTTGCCCGAAGACTCTATTCACGTTTCCATGAAAGGCTCTGCTGGTCAATCAATGGGTGCTTTCTTGGCTCCTGGCATCTTTTTTGAACTTGAAGGTGACTCCAATGATTACGTTGGCAAAGGTCTTTCTGGTGGTAAGCTGGCCATTTACCCACCCAAATGTAGCACATTTAAATCTGAGGAAAACATCATTGTGGGTAATGTGTGTCTTTACGGTGCCACCAGTGGCAAGGCTTTCTTTAGAGGTATTGCTGCTGAACGCTTTTGTGTTCGTAACTCGGGTGCCATTGCTGTCTGTGAAGGTGTAGGCGATCATGGTTGTGAATACATGACCGGCGGTCGTGCTGTCATCTTGGGCCCTACTGGACGAAACTTTGCTGCTGGTATGTCTGGTGGTATTGCTTATGTATTGGATGTCAATGGCAACTTCCGCAATATCGCCAACACTGAATTGGTGGATCTGGAGACCGTCAATGATGATGAGCGTGTGTCTGAACTGCGCGATCTTATTGAAGACCATCGCCATTACACTGGCTCTGAAGTTGCTGATCGTATCCTCAAGAACTTTAATGAATATCTTCCCAAGTTTGTCATGGTGATGCCTAGAGAGTATGGTGAATTACTGAAGCGCCAAAGAGACATGCAGGCACAACCCAATTCTGACAAAAAGTCTTGCGATGATACTGCTCATGCACACAAAAAGAAGGAACCCAGCGTGGAAGATGTGGAAGACAGTGTCTTGAACGAAGAAGAAATCTTGAAGCGTCGTGAAAAGCTTGACAAGTTAAGAGGCTTCATGAAGTACAAACGCAAGGCAGACCCTTACCGTGATACCAAGAAGCGTCTGGGTGATTGGGAAGAAGTCAATGTCCGTCTTACTCGTCCTCAATTGCATGAACAAGCTGCTCGCTGTATGGATTGTGGCGTCCCTTTCTGTCAATCTGATACTGGCTGTCCTATTGGTAACATCATCCCCAAGTGGAATGAACTGGTCTATAAGGATAATTGGAAAGAGGCTCTTGATCGTCTCATGATGACGAACAATTTCCCTGAATTCACTGGCCGTGTGTGGTAAGTACCCACTTTCAGAAGTTTTCTCAGTCTATCGGATTGTGATTCGACTGGCAGATCAAAACGGGGGTTGAATAGGATTCAGGGAGGGAATGCCGTTTGACATTTTCACCCATCTCCATCAATTTTGGCCCTTTTTACATGATTCTTTTACGAAAAATGATGCTAATATTCTCTGATTTATCCTTTGTAGTCCTTCGCCATGTGAAAGCTCTTGCGTACTCTCAATAAACGAACCTCCTGTAGCCATCAAGAGCATTGAATGTGCCATTATTGACTATGCCTTTGATAAGGGGTGGATTGTGCCAACTCCTCCTGCCAATCGCACTGGTAAGCGCATTTCCATCATTGGCTCTGGTCCTGCTGGTCTTGCTGCTGCAGATCAACTCAACAAGGCTGGTCATTCTGTTACTGTCTATGATCGCAATGATCGTATTGGTGGTTTATTGATGTATGGTATTCCCAATATGAAGCTGGACAAGAAGATTGTACAACGTCGTGTGGATCTTTTAGCTGCAGAAGGAATCAAGTTTGTTCCCAATGCTCATGTGGGTGTAGATGTGGATGTCAATCAGATCCGTGATCAGAGCGATGCTTTGGTTGTTGCTACAGGTGCTACTTGGCCTAGAGATCTCCAAATTCCTGGTCGTGAAGCAGATGGTATTCACTTTGCCATGGATTTCTTACAAGCCAATACCAAGAGCTTGCTCGATTCAGGATTGAAGGATGGTCATTATCTGTCAGCTAAGGATAAACATGTGATTGTCATTGGTGGTGGCGATACTGGTAATGATTGTATTGGTACATCTGTTCGTCATGGCTGTAAATCTGTTGTCAACTTTGAATTACTGCCTAAGCCTCCCAATACGCGCGCAGAGGACAATGCTTGGCCACAATTCTCTCGTATCTTCCGTGTAGACTATGGTCATTCTGAAGTCCAAACTCACTTTGGCAAAGATCCTCGTGAGTATTGCGTTCTTTCCAAGGAATTCGTAGTAGAGAATGGCTCCGTCAAGGGTATCAAGACAGTGCGTGTTGAATGGACCAAAGATGAAGCTGGTCGATGGGCAATGACTGAAATTGCAGGCTCAGAGCAAACATTTGAAGCTGATTTGATCCTTCTTTCCATGGGTTTCCTTGGCCCTGAAGATGCTATCGTTAAGCAATTGGAGGTTAAGCAAGATGGCCGATCCAACATTGAAACTTTGAAGGGTCGCTATGTCACCTCTGTTCCTGGCGTTTATGCTGCTGGTGATTGTCGTCGTGGTCAATCCTTGATTGTCTGGGGTATCAATGAAGGCCGTATGTGCGCTCGTGAGATTGATTTGCATTTGATGGGTAGCACCTGTTTGCCAGTAACCGGTGGTATTAATAGGCGTACGGCTGTTCAAGTGTCTGCCTAAGTTGTATTTCTATCTATATCTTATCGATCATTCAATTGCAATGTAAATAAATAAATGAGTTTAGCTACTTGTATCTTCCAAAAGTGTGTATTTTCATTATTAAAAAATGGTGATCGAATTTACTCAAACTAAAGCGTAAGATGAAGTGGTAATCATAAGGTTTTAATCAGAATCCATATAAGAGATTGATTTGTGATCTCTTTCTGCTTTCACTTTTTTCAATCTCTCTCGATGATAGAGCAATTTCGCCAGGTGTCTATCGTGGTTTGCTTCGACTGTTCATGGCTTTTAGAGTAGAAGACAATGAGATTGCAATCAAAGCTGTGGTGATCCCCACTGATCCAGAATGGCGCGAATAATGGTTTGGGCGGTGCAAATGGCAATTAAAAAGAAACTTAGCCGTGTAGTAAGTAGTATTTATAACATGCATCCAGTTTAATTACATTTCTGATGGATTTAGTACTGCTCTATGGAATCACCAACATCTCGAATCCATTACACTTGTCATGGGTGCTCAAACAGCATTTTTGCATATTAGAAGAAAGGTTACACTCGAGGACTTGAGTAATTTCAAGCATCCGCTGGTGGTAATCTAGGCTGCCTTCCCTTGAATTCTGTCCGTTTACAGATCAGCATTAGAAGAGGCCATGTTATGGAGCTCTTCTGGGGGGTAAGACAGATGCTTTTAAGATAGAAATGTCTGCTTGGAAAGACCAGTTACTCGTTTCATCCAGTTTCCTGGTAATCCTGTATGTTGTATTCATGGGCAGAGTCAGCCATTGACCGTCATGAAAAGGTATAGCTTCCATTGGCACCAAGGAAAGGATTGCCATACAAGCACCATCGCCACTGAATAACTTGAGGACTTTACCCGACCGATTATCACAAGCGGTAATTCACATTTTACTGTGGCTACATATCATTGAGATCCATCTCTTTTGGCAGACTCTTAAGCCTTCATGAGCTTAGCATTAAACCAATATTCCGGCGTGGGTTGGTTTCAAAAGAAGGATCATATCAAAGGACATTGATTGTAGATGTGTTATTCCGAATGTGCGACATAACTTTCTTCATTCGTGCGACAGTGTTTTTTTTCCTAGAGTGCGTGGAAATAGTGCAGGATGACCTTGAGAACTGTTTTCCCCTTTTTCTTTCAACAAGCAATTCTTTATTTTCCTTTTTTTTTTACTGCTCCTCTCCAAAAGTTTCCAAAATATAGCATATATTCTAAACTCTTTAATATGAGCGGCCAGAACTACATTGGTTCAAAGATTTCGGTAACGTATTCATAATGCATCCTACAGACAATATACAAACTGATCGTGATATATAGCTTATTAGTCTGAGTGATATACGATACGTTGGCATCTTGCACAATATCAACCTAGTAGAATCTACGGTTGCATTACAGAATGGTAAATTGACGGCTTTATCAGGTTTAAGCAGTGTAGATTAAACCAAACTATAGTCAAATCTTATGGTACGGAGGGTCGAAAAGATAGTCCAAGCGAAGAGATTCCTCCATCAAACAACACATTTGATTACGTTGTGTTTCGTGGCTCAGACATAAAGGATCTCCAGGTCTTTGAGGCCCCTCCTTCTTTCCAATCAGAGCAGATGCAGAAACCGGTGCAGCAACCCAAGCCTGTCGTGGAGCCGGTTGTTAATGCGGTAACGTGATATTTATAAACACCCAATGCTCCAGATCCTAATCATCTCTAAATCCAGGCACCATACAATTACCCTCCGTCCAATATTGCACCGTACTATTCAACCCCGAATATGTTTCCTAATAGCAAGAACAGTTCCACTGATTACACGGCTACGTATGGCACTACGTCCAATCATTGGCAAGGTAGCGGAAATGCTGCTGCATACAATCCTTACCTTCAGCAACCCCGCTACCAGATGCCAGTGCCTGAGAATTACCAAACGGTTCCTAGTGCACCTCCTGCAGCGGCTATATCTGATTTGAATATGAATGAGAATGGCGCCAGTCCTCCCTCAAAGAAAGAGTACAAAGTTGAAGAAGAAAAGACTGTGGCATCGCCTAAAAAAGAGATACTTCTTATGAATTTAACGTCTACAAGCATGCAAGTAAAGGTCAGTCAAGAGAAGGAGGAAGTAGCACCTGCCATTGAGCAAGTTGACAAGGCGCTCTTAAATTCATTGGTAAAGCAAGTATCAGATCTGGATATCAAGCAGCCACTCATTGTAAATAAGCAAAAGTCGCCTGTGAGACAACAAAAGCAGCAGCAGCAACAAACTCAAGTCAACGGTGGTAACAATGCTCGAGTGCCAGCAGGTAGTAACAGCAATGGCAACCGCGGAAGAAGGAACAGTGCTAGAATTCCCACCAAGAATCACTCTACTCGCACGAATGGAAATGCCAACAGTGCTTGGGAGCCCAACAACATCAATGGTAATCGAAATGTGAACAATGGGCAACGCAATTCTTCTGGCAATACTCATCGACGCAACAGCAGCATCGTCATTCCCAAATCAGATTTTGATTTCGAATCTTCTAACGCCAAATTTGACAAGAGTGACATGAATGTCATTGACGACGTCAGGCAAGTAAATGAGGAGGAAACCGTCATCATCCCAGAAGCAGATCACTTTTACGACAAGAAGAAGAGTTTCTTTGATGATATTTCATGTGAATCAAAGGAATATCAAAAAGGGTACCTGAAAAATATAGATTGTAGATAGATTCATGTTTTTACTAATGGAAACTCATTGTGTGATTTAGTACTCGCGGAGGAAAGTACAAAGAGGAGAGCATGCTCAATTTAGAGACATTTGGTCAAGCCAACCCTGCTGGTCAAAGTGGAAAGAGGAATCGCCATCGAGGCGGTAGAGGTGGTAGGGGCCGTCAACATCGAAGTGGTAGAGGAAAAGCCCCTTCTTCTACAGAGAATAGCAATGCTCAAGACGAAGTATAATTCAGGTTTACTGAGAGGGGTAACGTATCTCGGTCTCTTATCAATAAACACCATGCTGATTTATATAACGAAAATCCTGTCAAATGTCAGTCATCATGCAGTCTTATCTCGTGCCCTGCACATGTAATAATATAGCTGTTATTAGAATCATTTTTTCATACAAAAAGTTGTCTTTGTCAAATATGGTGAAACTGTTCTCTAGTTTATCTTGGCCAGATTGGCGATCGCATCATAAAATTTACTCCAGCAATCAAATTTTCATCAATATCCACAACCATGCTCATCCTATATATAATAGTATCTACTACTAAAAAAAAATGCTAAGCCCTGATTGAGAGAGACATATCTCAATTGAGCATTTGGAATTAGAAAAACGTGGTTCGTAAAATAATCATTATCTGCGTTTCTGCTCTGATAAAAACATAAATGCAAGTCTACTGAATCAACATCTTACCATTCGGCAACATCTCGCATCGCTGGAGAAAATATTTTCAAAAAAAAAGAGAGCACCAGAGACCGAGCTTCCAACCTCTAATTCCAAGTCAAGTATCTTAACTATGGAACTACAATTTGCGACATATTCAAAGATTGGCATGGCTTTTTCGCCATGTTGCGGAAGTATAGTGGAATTCACTGCTGTGCGCCGCGTATAACATTAGGTAAGGCTTCTGGAGGCTAACTGGAGTCGCGCAATTCAGCACTGTTGGAGCAGCAGCTCTTGAAACTATTCCGAATTAATACTGTTGTATCAACAACAATAAACGTAAAAAAAATCACTGTGCTGAAGCAGTACCAATATAAATTTTCTCACATAATAAATTCTCCTGTGAAACTGTTTAACGGATATCAAATCAAATAATTGCACCTTACCTTAACATAAAATATAAAGTATTTGAAATTATATCTATTTAGATATCCATTTATTACAAACACAATATTATGATAAATGGCAGATCAACAGAAAATCTACTAGTTGTAGACCTTTTCTCTTTCAACTCCAGAGCCAATCAAATCGCTTGAAAACTCCGCTGACCTAAAAAAAATTTGCGAGGGTTTCCCCCTGTTTTGATGTGAGGCAAAATTTTAAGCTCCGCTATATATAGCAATATAGCCGTTACTATCATCAAATTTCCCTCAGGTGCCAGAGCATGCCTTACTTACACCATCTAGCTTTAGATTCTGGCGTTGAGACTCTCAATCATCACTAAAGTAAGTAGTGATAACCAAGTGGAGGCGGCCTATCTACCTCCTAGCCTCGGATAAAGTCTTGTTGAGCTTCAGGGATAGGCACATCCACACAACGTAATAAAGAGGTATGCTTCAAAGAAACATAATAATAATAAAAGTAAGAAGAAAAGTACATATTACTATAGAAGTATAGAAGTATGTAGGCAAAAAAGGAACTCACACAAAAAAGTGAGCCAAAAGAAAAGCATAACAAACACAACATCAAAGGTGTTTAAAAAAGCTCGTTGCTGTTGCAAGAAAAATGCATGCATGAGCAACGAGCATGGTGGTAATAGTCGGATGTAAAGCAACGTGACACAAATACGCACAATTGCAGAAGCAACAGTGGTATTATAAGTTTGCGAGACAACATAATGACTAATGCTGTTTCATGTAAAACTACAGAGGAAACACTACCAACAAAAGAAAAAGAAGAAGAAAAAAGCGCAACAAGGCAAACATCATGAATGCATTATCACGAGAAAGGAAGCAATAATATAAGCGTTCAAAGAAATTTTATATCATTGCGACCAGAAGAAAGAAGATACTTACAACTTACCATAGCCACAGATAGACTAGAGGATACGCAATCACCAGAAGTAGACCAGACAATGAGCATGCACCAGAGACAGTAGACCAGAAAAGACCGTATTAGCAGCAGCAGCAACACCAGCAGCAACAACACCAGCAGCAACAACAACAGCGTAGAAAAACCGAAGAACGAGTGACACCAGAGACCAGACAAAGATTAACGAAGCAACCGCCAGAGATAGGAGCCAAGAAGCAACTACCAGACATAATAAACCAAAGAAGCAGACAGCAGAGATAACAGAAAAGTAATGACAGCAGCACCAACCTCAAACAGACAAAAAAAATATCGAAACCTAATAAAAAAATTCGATTAGTGCTGGTTTTATCTCTTCTAGTGCTCGTTATAGAATGATACCTACCATATTCCACTTCAAAGAATCAGTATCAAGTATTTTTAACAGTGTAAGACCGTGTTATCAGAAGCTAGAGTGTTATTTTCAATCAAAAGGGTTCCAAAACCAGTATGGTTTGATACTAAACGCGTTTTGCAAAAAGGATAAAAAACGGAGGTTTGAAAAGATGAGAGGACACCCTAACCGACGTCACGGCCAGTAGATTTGATCTCAGTCTTCTGCCGTGGCAGTCGTAACTGCTGCACTTTAACTTGAATTTCTGTCGTGGGTATTTTCGTGTTCAAATTCGACTTGATTTCATATTCCTTAAACGCTTTTGCTAAATTTGACTATGAAAATTTTCGTTGTCATACTTTACTTTCTAATGCATTTATAAAGAGTCAATAAAGGCGCATCAAATGATGCTGGTTACATTCAGCTTTCAGACCGAAAATAATGAGCAATCTGCAAAAATATGAAAACAGTTTTTTGCCAATATGTCATGATTTAGCATATAAAAGCTCCATAGAAACAATTTACAATGTTGTATTTTACCACTACAGTCAATCTGATCTAATACTTGTCATAAAGAAAGTCTTCGTTTTTCGGGTGAAAAACACGATTGTTTGATTTTTGATGAAAACCATGAGGGGTACCTCATGGTTTTTAGTCAATTTTTGTTTATTTTTTTCGGCCACCAAAAAGTTGAACAAAGGTGTCAGGAACTAACTGCCAGATGAGAGCAACTATTTGGTGCTATTCTGACAATCTATAACTGCCTTGAACGCGAGAAAACGCAGCTCAAATGCACTCAGATTTTGCTGTATTAGGCACACTCTTGATTAAAAAGTGATAATATCTGTAAGATACATGCCTGTATATGAAGTAGCTACGTGTATATGGATGTAGAGCATCACATAAGAATCAGATCCACAACTAATATGAAGGTTTTTCATGTAAGTAAAGGTTCAAAATTGTTGTGCCAGAAGGGCTACAACTGTCTATAAAGATTAAATTATTCTTGATGGGTAGATATGTCTGTGTTGTGCAACAACATGGACAGGCTATGATAATTGAAGTGCATCTCAGCTATCTAAATTGCTAGTTTGGCATTCAGAACTTAGTATAAATAGAATAACTCTTGTCTTCATCAATAAATCTTTAGTTTTTGTGTCTGATCTTATTCAAATAAGTCTTTTTTTGTCTTTATAATATCGAGCATTTTTTATAAGCTACAAATAATAATCCTTTTATTCTTTGTGCTTAACAAAAATGAAAGTAACAGTATAATAATATTGATAAGATACGCAAAGGCAATCGGTAGCGCGAGCTGTCGCTGCGCAGGTTGGTTCTCATTGAGGTGAAGCGAAGGTAGAGGGCCATTCAAAGCATAAACATTCGTATATATTTAACGAAAACCTACCTTCTTCATCATAAATGCAAGCAGTGTTTTTTCGTTTGCTTGAAAGCGTTCGGGCAATGGCAGAAATGCAAAGTATCTCTCGCAGGACTGAAGAATACGATTTGTCCGTAACCATACTTTACAGTTGTGTTGTACGATGGATTCTAGATGATCTCGCTGTAAACTTGATTCTTCATTTCGCGATCATGTTGCTGTTGCAATTCGGTGGAAAAGCTGCCATCTTCATTCAAAAAAACTTGCAACATCGCTGCCGTTGACGACTATCACAGGTACGGTTTTTTCTGAATGCGGCAAGCGACCCTTATTGCGTCTCTATATTGTCAAGAAGTGAGGGATATACTTGGTCACCAACCTATCACCATGGTCCTCGTGAGCTTTGTCACTATCAATTATGCGTCATTTATTGCAGGCGTAAAGCCAATGATGGCCATCGCTCTTGGCTAATGACAACTCTGGACTATCAGACAAGACACCTTATACGATGCACAATCTTATGTATGGCCAGCTTTGTGCTCGAAGCGTTGCAAAGCGTAGGCTCTAGCGTGTGCTTATTTTGCATCGCTCTAAATGTTTCTTTGAATTTGAGTATATTTGCTCCAGCCTGGCGATACTGATTATATAACAAACAGGCCGTTACCATTCCAAATCCTCAGCTATAACGTGGATTTCTTTTATTGCGGCATAAAATCCACGTTTGTTGGATGCAAAAGTAGCGCATCCTTATAGATAATAGATCATGGCGAAGAATCAGTTAGGAGCAACTATCGCTCCAGTGCATTCAATAATGAAACCAACAATCTATTTAAGATACGACATATAAAAGGCTATAATTGACAGCACAGGCATCATTTTCTATGAAAGAAATGAGTTTTGGAAGCAGTTTTATGCGCAAATGTTGCAGAGGAATGTTCAAGATAAGCTTGACACTTGACAGAATGAATGAAGTGTATGCAAATTCAGAATTTAGACCGACTCGGCATTGAAAAAAAAAAAAGAAGCCTGGACACACAAAAAAAAAATTAAAGGCGAGGGGGTCGTTTATCAGATTTAAAACAAATACATCTTCACACCATTCCATCATGCTCCGAGCAACCGCCATCACTGCCAGCAAACAGCTTCCACGCAGCACAACACATCTATACAAGCGCACTCTATACAACTACACGGGTAACGATAAGGCACTGAGCGATCGTAAATTAACAGATGAAGAGCGTGCATATCTGGATCCCATGATTCGTGTCGACCAAGCAGGCGAAGTAGGCGCTTATTACATATATAAGGGACAAATTGCAGTGTTGGGTAACGACAAGAACTTGCGACCCATCTTGCAAGAAATGTGGGACCAAGAGAAAGAACATTTAGCTCGCTTTGATCATTTGGTTGGGCAACATCGTGTAAGACCAAGCTTGCTGAGACCTTTGTGGGAAGTAGCTGGCTATGCTGTAGGTGCGGGTACTGCGCTGTTGGGCAAGGAAGCTGCTATGGCTTGTACTGAAGCAGTAGAAACTGTGATTGGAAACCATTACGATGATCAATTGAGAGAGCTGGTTGCTATGAAGGATCCTAATCAAGATTTGGCTGACCTCAGCAAGGTAAACAGCATGGCATCGTATCTGACGCTTCTGGTATTAACCACTTTGTTTTTTTTAAAAAATTCTGAATAGACGGTAGCTCAGTTTAGAGATGAAGAATTGGAACATCACGATATTGCAGTGGCTCACGATGCTCAACAAGCTCCTTTTCATTCCGTACTCAAAGGTGTGATTATGCAAGGATGCAAGACTGCAATTTGGGTTGCTGAGAGAGTTTAGACAATTGAATAAAAGATGAGTCGTTTTCATATGCTAAAAGTGTTTGAATGTGGAGTAAACCTTAAATTCCAGTTTTCCCATCAATCGTTAAACATTGTGGAGAGCAGAAGGGTTACGATTGAAATGCCGGTGTATTGTATCGACATGTGAAAGTCTTGTTGATTCAAAGGCGTATTTAAATAGCCATCTGTATGCCCGTTTTGTTTTTTTCTTTTCTTTTCCTTCTTCTTTACCCTACTCAATTATATAAATATGTCTGATATCAAAACTGCCGGTTTCCAAAGCTCTGAAGTCTTTGCCACTCTCAAACAATCACTCGATGCTCTTCCTGCCGATGGTAAGGCCAAGCTGATCAAGCAAGTCAATGGCATCTTTGAGTTCGTTGTAAAGAATGCCGAGGGAAAGACTGAGACTTTCACTGTGGATCTCAAGAAGGATGGGTCTGTTGTCAAGGGAAAGGGCGCCAACAAGCCTGATGCTATCATCTCTATTGCTGATGCCGACTTTGTTCAATTAGCTTCTGGTAAATTGAATGGTCAAAAGGCCTACATGTCTGGTAAGCTCAAGATCAAGGGCCAAATGATGTTGGCTACCAAGCTTGATACCGTCTTCAAGCAACTTGCTGGTGACAAGTCCAAGTTGTAAATGTACACATACGCCATGTAAATAAAATATTCTATTGAACGCATCTCTGCATTTCTCGTCTTTTGTATGTGTGGGAGATAACTTGTAATTTTGTTTATTTGTTTTGCATTAATTATTAATGATTACGAATATAAGTGTTTCCCAAATTGTCTGTAATCAAGTCTATACTGTCATCGTTTTTCTCTTCATCTCCAGAGTTCTCCTCTCCCTCACTATCTTCATCTGAATCTTCTTCGTCTGAATCCTCCTCAGAGTCATCGGTGTCATCAGCAAACGCAGTAAAGGCATTGTCGCGATTGTGATTCTTAAAGAGCAGATCGTCATCCTCGCTATCTCCGTCTTGCTGAGCAAGAGATTCCTCCTTTTTGATGCGTTCATCTTCTTCTAATTTCTTGAGGTATTCATTCTGCACTTCCAACACCTCTGCAGCATCTTTACATTTGGAATATCTGGACAGCAACCCACCATTGACCTTTTTGAATGCGTGTCCCCATTTAAATTTGCCCAACAATGCTTCTCCATGCTCGGGATATCCAGTAATGTAGAATATGGCTGCCAGTGCCTCTGCGCAGTTCAATTTCCATGGTTTGCCGTAGTTAACTGGATTTGTTGCTACTAGATAAGGCAGTAAACGATCGGTGGGTCCTTTGATCTTGGAGAATGGGACTTCATCTACACGAGCCCAGGAGCAATCGACCACACCGGCTCCGTATAATTCAACTACTTTGCGATCTGCTGGTGAAACCACCTTTTCGCCTATAGGACTAGAATGGTGTCTCTGTAAGTAGGTGATCTGAAATGCTGCTGCTCAAAGTAGTTACCTAGCAACGATACCACGGAACCGTTGTGTTAATTTGAGTGTCTTGAGCATATCACAACGAGCTAATTTGACACCGGAACATCTCTTGGGATCACAATGCTTAAAATCCCACATGGCTACAGGCATAGGGATGCTTGAAACATGTCCCTCTTCAACTATGATAGCATGTAAGCATATTGCTGATGCCGATACTCTGTCAATTGATACCTTGCCCTTGCTCTGTACCAGGAGCAATCAAACTGGCATCTGCATATTTGTCATATCGAGATCCTTTACTAGAGCTTGGCATGATGTCAGTATGCTACAAACTATCACTAGGCAAAATACATACTGAGGTTTTCCATGGCTCTTGGCGCTAGCGCCTTTGTGTCCATGCGATTTAGAGGAACGTCCGCTGTAATCTTCAGAGTTCTTTTTACCCATTTTGAAATAGAAGAGTGATGGATGAAAAAGTTTTAACGGTTACAAATACAAAAATTTTATTACAACATCAAAATGGTTTTAAATGCAGCAGATTACTACAATTGCTCTTCAGTCCACCATTCAGGCAAGAAGGGTCTCAAACGGACAGACTCGTCTTTCGCAGAAGTAAACGCTTTTTCATCGTTTTGAATGTGCTCCAATCTCATCAATGCCAAGCCAATATTGTGAATACCAGAGCAGAATTTGCCCACACCTCGCTTGCTGGTGCCATCCACTAATTTGATGTCGCTTTGAGGTTCAAGCACAGATGGCCAAACAGCATTGCGATCCACTTTTTGAACAGATGGCGACCTACCAGAAAACTGTTAATAACATTACACATGGCAACAAAATGGACTTTACCCTTTATCCTTGTCGTATAGCTGAATAGGTACAATGCGTTTACGAACGACACCTGTATGGAATGTGCGAATAGTTAATTCCTGCCCAACATAGCATCCCTTGCGGAAATCCACGCCATTCATATAATCAAAGTTAGACTCCAAAGGCAAAGAGACTTCAGGCCAGAGATCATCTGGTCCCTCAGGCAGTCCCTGCAGCATACGACGGATTGTATATTCGTCTTCATTTAATGCTTCAAACTGGCCCGATGTGGGCAATACATGTTGGACATCCTGGTCTGCTGGCAAGACGGCTCGATATCCAAAACCAGGGATGCGAGGATCCATACAACCAATATCTGAAAATCGCTTTTCCTTCTTGACGAGAGCAGGATCCTCCTTGTTGAGTGCAGGTCCCCAAATGTGCCATAGCTTGTATTCCTCCGAGCAATCTCTTACTTTGACCTTGGCTCGTAGAATGTATCGTTTCAAATGGCGTAAAAATGTCGATTTCGTGGCACTTGGACAGTCAATGATGAACTTGGGATGTGGGAAATTGACACCCACATTGACGGGATAGATGAATGTATCGTACAGCATACGTCCCTACGGTGAATCTTGGTTAACAGAAATCAAGATTAGAGTTGATATGTGCTTACGGGAGGTGTTAAAAATGCAGCATAAAACCCATCACCACCAGGCGAGATCTTTGGCATATGGTTAGTCATTAGGCCTTGCAGAAACTTGGCCGTTTCGGGTCCTTCCAGCTCAAGCAAGCTACGGCCAGGAACAGGTGTGTAATGATCCCCCTTGTGAAGCTCGTCTTTCTCTTGAAAGTGGTGGGATGCTGGTGAACTGGCAAAGGAACGAGCCAATGTAGCTATAATAAAACGATGAGTGAGGGGAACATAGCCTGTCATTGTGGTTCAAATGTTACGTTTCAACAAGGATTGCTTGACCAAAAGGCTTGTATTTGAGCGTAGTAGATGTTTGGCGAGCATTGTTTACAGATAAAGTGCATTTTAATAGATTCAAATGCATGTGTAATCTTGTTCACAAAGGTTACCTAGTCACATCGATTGAAGGTTTGTGGTGAAATGTGTAGTGTGTGTGGGGGTGAAGGGAGGGGGGGCTTTTTCTCTCGCCACTCAAAGAGTGGAATTACAACCCAGGGTCTAAATTTTGACATTTTTCTCTTTCCACATACACAACACATACAGCAATGCACCACGGCAAACACTTGCGTCGTCTTAACCGTACCTCTGGACACAGAAACTCACTGCTTAGAAACATGGTTTCTTCTTTGGTCGAGCATGGCCGTATTGAGACCACTGTTGCCAAGGCAAAGACCATTCAACCCATTGCTGATTCCATTATTACCCTTGGCAAAAAGGGTGATGTTGAAGCCAAGAAGCAGGCCCTTGCTTACCTCAATGTAAGATCTGATGCTATGGATGGATAGAATGTATAGCTAAATGGAACGTCATGTAGAGCCGTGATATCACTATGCCCAAATTATTTGACGAACTTGCTCCTCGCTTTGCCAACAGACAAGGTGGATATACTCGTATTCAAAGAATCGGTAAACGTTACGGAGACAATGCACCCATGGCTATCATTGAATACATTGATGGGCCCTCAGACACCTTGAGAGAAACAGTGACCAGCACACTTGCACGTAAATTTTCAGAGACACAAAAGGTATCTGTCAAGGATATCCTCGAAAGCAACAACAACAAAGCTCAAGAACTCGGCTTACCAAAGACACTTGTACGTAACTTGAAGAAGATTCAATTCGCAAATTCATTAGAGAGCATTGATCAAGCTATCGAGAAGAAGATGGGAAATTTATAAATCAATAAAATGTTAGATACATAGTAATTATGTAGTGGATCAGATGGTTGGTTTTGTGGTAGTTAATAGGATGAGGGTTGAGTGTTTGTCATTTTGAGTGTACAGTTGGCATTGGAGTGCTCTTTGATGAATCATGTCAAAATGTATAACGCTCAGATGATTTAGAAATGGATTGTGCAGTTTGAGAATATGTTCATGTAGCTTTTGGTTGATACAAAATACTAGATCAAGCCTTTATTTCAGCACTAGAAGCAAACATTCGCCTCAGCAAATCTTGACTCTGTCCTTGGAATAAGAATTGAAATGTGATATAGAGAGAGTACCCAGTGTTTCTCAACAGGCTTATTGATTTGGAGACAACTCAGAAGTGGCTGATAGTCTTCTTCTTACTGGGCCCAACGTAACATCCTCAGCTACGGCATTGCATCAAATGAAGAAGGAGGTGTGGTCTTTTTGGTCCCACTGGTCTACTAATAAACTTGGCACCCTACAGAGCACTATAAACTCACATCGATTGCTATTCATTTAAATCAAAGAAATAAGACTTAATATTAACTTGAAGATGAGACTATGAGTGCTGTTCTACAAAAGCCACTTATTATTGAACAAATGAAGCAAGAATCAGGTTACAGCATACGAGTATTTACGCTTCGGTGAGAACCAATTGCCCTTGTGTATCTTATCATAACACTACTACTTTCATTTTGACCCTCCACTTACACATAGTAACCCTTCATATTATTTGTGGATCTGATTCTTATGTGATGCTCTACATCCATATACACGTAGCTACTTCATATACAGGCATGTATCTTACAGATATTATCACTTTTTAATCAAGAGTGTGCCTAATACAGCAAAATCTGAGTGCATTTGAGCTGCGTTTTCTCGCGTTCAAGGCAGTTATAGATTGTCAGAATAGCACCAAACAGTTGCTCTCATCTGGCAGTTAGTCCCTGACACCTTTGTTCAACTTTTTGGGGACCAAAAAAACATGGTCAAAAATCGATCAAAAAGCATGAGGTACCCCTCATGGTTTTCATCGAAAATCAAACGATCGCGCTTTTCACCTTGAAAATGGAGAGTTTTACTATGGTATATCTTGAATCAAAATGTTTCTATCAATCCAAAGCAACCTCTGAAATCATCTTTGTGGGACTTTGATATGTAAAATTTCGACATTTTGGCCAGAAACCTCTTTTCATATTTTTACAAATCATTCAATAAGTGTATTCAAAACATCTATATAACTTGGTACCATTGGAAGCGCCTTGAAAAGTACTCCAGGAAAGCTTAAGGAAGCATGGGGTGATTATCATACTTCACTTAGTCGAATCTGCAAAAATAGCTCGATCGAGTCCAGAATCATCAAAATTTGTCCAATCTGGAACAGACTATGATTTTGGGTTTGAATTAATTTTGGCTGGTGGGGCCAGCTGGAAAACTCATGCCCTTTTCATAAGGCAATACAATAGTAAATGCCCTTGAAGCGTATAGAAAGTAGGTGGCAGGTCATAGCACTATCGTTTATGATAATATTTTATTGCCTTCTATATCGTTCATAATGATATTTTATTGCATTCTATATTTAATAACGTTAGTCTGGACATTGACGATGCATGGGCTGCATAACATGTCTGCAGTAAGTAGGGAAATCTCTGAGGCTCCAGGTCGTCGTTCAAAGAAAACGTTGCAAACATTGAGTAGAGGAAAGAGGATAAAGATAAAAGTGGTTGTTGATTGATTTATTTAAAATCACTAATCATATATGCGCCAGGCCTGACGAATGTCTGGCAACTCATCGGTTTCCATGTTAGGATTGTAAACGTATCTAGGGACTAAGCATTCATTAAGTTATGATTTATTCAATCAAGAGACAATTTCAAGTCTACTATTAGCCAAAGTACTGGCATTTTCAGACAATTCTGAAGAGGCAGAAGAAGATTTGCGTCTTCCATCAGTAGCACCTGGCACCATCAAATGACCTGAAGCATCAATTTGGCTTTCATTCCTGTTCAAGACGAAATCAGCATCCTCCTCAGAGATTTCCATGTCGGTTGACATTTGGAAAGAGTTTGAAGGTGATACAGAATAAGCGCGGTCAGCGGGATAATGCACAGGACTAGGCAGAGGTGATTCTATATTTGGTATAAACGTAGGCAGTTCGTCATTGTTGGTGGATTCATGAATCTCAATTTGAATTGGATAGGAAGGAGGTACGGTAGCAATGGTAATAGGCAGCGCAATGGTGTTGGTGACCAACTGCTGCTGGCTGTTGAAGATGCCGCCCCCATTGGAATGACTCGGCAATGTGATCTCTACTCGGTAAGCGATATCAATGTATTTGCCCATCTTGTTTGTAAATGTAGGCACTAAGTTAGAGGGTATCTGGAACCTGAAGATGTCTTGATGATCACGCGCTTGCTTTGCAATGGATACGTAGAACGATTCGGATAGTATATTGTATTGCTTGTGAATATGCTCATTTTCAAGTGTGGCGGCGGAATGATTCGGATTCAATGTTGTGGCTACTGCTAGCAATTGCACCTGAACGCTGCTGATTTTTGAGTCTGAATTGTTATTGGTGATCATTTTGACAGTGCAAAGGTCGCCTATATATGGAGAGAGTGTGAGAAATTTCGTCATTCTATCATGTTGAGCATACGTTGGATCCAATCTATACAAACCTGGACAGTAAGCTGGTTTAATTAATTCTGCGGTGACTTGGATCTTTCTGTTTTCCTTCTCAAAGACTTGAGTCATTTTGGATGTGGGTAGATTGGTGGTGACCAAAGGCAGGTAGAGGATGGGCACAGTGGCTGTGAAATGAGGTTCAGATTCAAGGTCAATGACACCTTGCAACGTATAGCCAATACGATGACCAAAATGAGAGTCGTGCATGGAAGGCGGGTAGTTGACTTGAGGCAGTCGAATGGCAAACAAATACATGTGGCTTCCCTGAGGCAATTCTGCGTGAGTAGCAGATTCCTTTGGATTTCCCCAAATGACTGTATCCACAGAGAAGATGCTGGCCTTTTCCCGCTTGGAGCTGTCCATTGCTTCGCATTTGAAGACAATACGGATATTTTTAGTAGATAATGGCTTATCATTTGTGATCATCAACGACCCTAACATTACGATATCAACATTTGCAACAACATGATACGATTGCGCACTCTATAATTACCGTTGATAATGGATCCAGGCCCATAGGCGATAGGTTTATCAGCAGAGCCTGAGCTTGTGGATACATAAAAGTTGTGTATCGCTGCCAAATCAGTGTTATTTCTTCTAAAAAGCATCATGATGGTAATACAACAATAGAACTGAGGTTTAATCAAATGGAGATTTTATCTGATAAACTTTTTGAATAATTTTTTTTTTTTTTATTCAATCTTGGCGAAGAGAGAAAAAAAGAAAAAAAAAAAGAGAAAAAGCAAGCATCTGGCCAGAGAAAATATATGCGGTTTTGTCTTGCTACATCTCGTGATGCCTGTAGAGTGAGCTGCTTTGTTGTTTGTATACGTATAAACAAAAAAGCGTTTGAATACAGGGTCGATAGGCGTTTCAAATGTGTGGACATGTCCCTTTGATGTAAATTTTTAGTCATTGCAAACCTTGATTGGTATAAATCTGAAAACTGACTCACACCATCGATTAAGGAAATGTCTCCCCGGATGAATAACTCCACTGCCTTCTATCGGGCAGTAACCCTAAATAAATTTCAGGGCTTCAAATCCATATATAAAGAGGCCAGATTTTTAATTTTATTTTCTTCATTATAAACTCTTAGTTTTCTCTCTCTACACATCTCTATCAATATGCTCTCTCAAATTGCTCGTATGGTTGCTACCAAGAAGGTTGTCTTCTCTGTTGCCGGTGGTTCTGCTGCTCTTGCATATGCACAAGAATGCAAGAATGATGTGCTCTTTTACACTAAATCCAAGTAAATACGCTCTTGCTAATACCTGATCTGCTGCGTGGTCTACCTGCTTTATTTGCAAACACAAACTATTTATACATATATATCACCTCCATCACAACTAGACACTCATTCGTATAACTATGAGCAAATCTCTTCATTTAATTAATTTAAAATCCTCAATTGCATTCTATTCAAATCATAATAAAAACCTCACATTTCGTGACAATTCATCACATTCAAAAAAAAAAAAAAAAAAAAAAAAAAAAAAACTCTTTTTACCCGATTTTTATCTGTAAAAAGCCGGAGGGATTTTGCGTCTATTTTTAATAAATGTTGATTTCACATTCAATTGAAGAGGATCAACAAAATTTTTAAGCCTATCAAATGTTGAAAATGAGGTTGAAGGCTCGTGAAAAAAGAAACGTGGATCGCAGTTTTGATTTGTCATTTTGGTAACCACAAATTGACAGAAAATGTGGTTGGAGTTAAGATTATCTGTTTGATAGCATCTAATATGTGCAACAATGGAGACTTTGCGCCTATCGAATTGTTTATTCCAATATCTCCCACGATGTTTCTTTTTCAGGGTTTTCATGATAAAATATTTGTTGGCAATGTGAGTCATTTCCGCGGCGATGCTTCGAGATCACAGAGACTCTAGACAACTGTCGGAAAATACAAAATACTAGAAAGAACCTTCCACGTCCACTATTTTTAGTTTCCAATGTTTTGCAAATGATTATTACTTGAGAGCGTATATTGGGTAAAAGTCCAGAAGAAATTATTCGAGCATTTCATGTATCGAAGAGGGTCTAGCAGCTGGTTATACTGTAGTTTATGTATCATATTTCGCCTTGGAATTCGCTTATAAGTGAGCATTTGGCACTGATCAAATCCTTCAAGCATATAATAAAATCACCAAACGCATCAAGACATAGCAAAACTAAGCTATAATACTCTTCAGGTCGCATTTCCCTTCATGTTGGCTTTACCATCGTTGATTGTCTCTCTAATAACTTTGGGGCCAGTCTTAGCAGCCAGAGCTAATTCTATTTCCGCTCGATATTCTGTGTCAATTCGTTGATATTGTCAAAATTTCGACTTGTTTGATGTATTTTGCATGATTCGACTATAAAGTTGTGATGATCATCTCATACTTTCTAATGCATTTTTGGAGTACTTTTCAAGGCGCTTCCGATGGTGCTAATCCTTAGAGGTTTTTTGATTGAAGCTATAGAGCAATATTTGAGAATATGATATGAGGTTTTTGATCAAAATGTCGAGATTTCACATATGAAAGTCTCGCAAAAGAGCTTTTAGGGGTTGTGTTGGATCGAGAGCAACATTTTGATATAATGCATGTCATAATAAAAGTCCTCATTTTCAAGATGAAAAACGCGATCGGTTGATTTTTGATGGAAACACTTGAGGGGGTACCTCATGGTTTGGGGTCGATTTTCGATGTTCCCAAAAAAGTTGAGCAAGAGTATCAAACAGTTACTTCTAAATGAGAGCAATTGTTTGGTGCTATTCTGGCGGTCTAAAACGGCCTCTAACTTGAGAAATGGCTGCTCAAATCCATTTAAATTTCGCTATGATTCGCCTGATTTTGACCAGTAAGAGGTGATGCAGCAATGGTATCAGCCCATATATGACATGTGCCTATCGATAGAGACTTGAAGCATCCTAGAAAAGCAGCATTTATGGCAACAGGTCTTCAATGGATATTAATATCAGCATAATATTTATTATACTCCTTTCTTCCAGACCGCATTTTATCAATGATCTCTATAATCAAGAGAATGAGCGTGATAAAAAGCAAAAGATATAGAAGCGACCTCATAGACTTGTTTGGCGTATTTGAAGAGCAATCGTGTGTTAAAAGTTGGTTCCATTTCCTGAATTAAAACTGTTAATGATGCTAACGATAGCCAGCTTGAAAGACAATACTTTGAATACACACATTATTCCGCTACAGAACCGATTGAAATACATTGTACCTTGATCTATCAGCCAATATCAATCAGAATCAAAGCGTGTGTGCCATAATGAAACATAATCTGTAATTTTGTACTACTTTGCGACAACTTCCAAATGGAGTATTTAATAGATGAGTGCTACAATAGCATCATCTAGACTCATTTCTTTTTTTCTGTGTGTGTGTATCGTCGATTATCATGCCATTTGATCTCGACTTTCTTGTATTGAATGTTGTACATGAAATGATGTGCGAATAGGCTTCATATGTAGTTGTGAATGTGTGATAATATAGGAGTAAAATTTTGTATCAGACGAAACGTGTAGATGTTTAAAATAATGGATGCAAATAGACTACGATGCCAACTACAACTGTCAAAATGATACCAAATCCGTACCTGGATTTTTTTTTTCAGATCACTGTTTCATCAAGGTATAATGAAACACTCTAACCAACTTGCCGCCACAAGGTCTCATATGTATCGATTTGATCTGTTAACCGCTACATATTAATACAGACATGCTGCTCAACAGAAGCAGCCGCCAGTATAGGTGTATACAACAAGAGTGTTTCCTAGATTGTAAAATGATCTTGTATAATGAGTGTTATACAGGATATGAAACCTAATGTTGCCTCCTTTTGTTGCATACGATTATTTCAAACGCTTCAAGCCATGTATAAATAGACAATAGGCATTTCTAAAATATAAAGCATACTTTACATGAGCTTGCATGAATTTGATGCACTATCCATCACTTGCCATAGAAATTGGAGTACATGGCGCATACACAATTGCTTCATCTACTACTCTATAGAGTAGAACCCCCTTAGTTTATCCTTGTTGATGCGTCTAATTGTACACAATGCAGCTGAATCTATACAATATGAAATGCAGCGACACACTCTCGCTTACAGCCGTCAAAGCCAAGGACATGTCTTTGCTACAGCACACTCCATGTACATGCTGATACTATAGTGCAATATTCCTTCATAAAAGGTTCCCCCCCTTTTTTCATTCTATATGAAATATAACACGGATACTTTCACTTGCCCCCCCTTTTTTTTATCCTATATAATGACCTCCTCTTTCAACAAGTTGTTGTTGTTGTATATCTTTTTTGTTTCTTCACCTCCTTGTAATCATGATAAAGAAGTGCGCCTTGACCTAATATAAAACTGTGTGAGCAGCAAGGCTCCTATATGGATCAACTTGTCAAAATTAAAAACTAATCTCTGGCTCATTTGTATATTAAAGCTTTTCTTTTGAAATGCTCCTTTAATTCACAATATTAAAATGTGTCTTTTTTGAGTGTTGTGCGCGTGCGAGTGATAATTTTGCATGAATTTACAATAAGAAGCAAGAAATCATCATCATCATCAGCATCATCACCACAGCAGCAGCAGCAGCAGCATAAGCATAAGCGTAAACAGCAGTTTATTTAACACATTTTAGAAATAAATATTTTCCTCTTTCCTTTTTCCTTTTCTCTCTCTTTCTTTGTATCTCTCTTTCTCTTATTCTTGCTTTTACATTTACATCTCATATTAAACCCAAAAGCAACTCAAACGACACTCTATCCAACAACACTTGATCTGATCGCATCCATGTATTCACAGCATCATTACAATCATGATAATCTATCACGTGAGAACGCCCATGCACATCCACTCGGAAGACCTGCATCTATGCCATCGCTCTATCCACCATCATCATCCAACGGCAATTATAAAGTAGTAAATGAGGACTTGATTCAGCAACGATCAAGCTTGGATGGCCATGGCCCATACTCTAATCATGCTGCTGGTGCTGCAACAGGCGCAAGTCATAGCTGGGCTACACCAAACAGTAATAATAGCAGTGGTTGGAATCACAATCCTCATCACGACAATAACATTGGAGGTAGCACTCATCATGGTAGCAATAGTACCACTGTTACTTCACCCCCTCCTCCTCTTTCAACCATGATGCATACAAATCATGCGGATAACAATACTGCTTCTTCTTCTTCTTCTACTGCTACTACAACAGCAGCTACCACATCACCTACTCATCATATTAAATCAAACATGGATTTGCCCTCTATTGATAAACACTACTCCAACTCGCCCAGTGCCAACTTGATGTCTGCTTACAACAGCTCACCCAATTACTTTGTCTCGCCTACTACCGCCAATACAGTCTACAATAGTCCTCATCTCTCTCACCACCACCATCATCCCCCTTCTGCCTCGTCTCTCTCCTCTGCTTCGCACCACCAACAGCAATATCAGCAGCAACAAAGCAACACTTACTCGGCTTATGGTATGACTTCCAGCATGCCAAGCCAAGCTCGTCATAGTCTGGCTGCTCGGCCCAAACTTACCACCACCTTATGGGAAGATGAAGGCACCATTTGCTACCAAGTCGATGCCAACGGTATTTGTGTCGCCAGACGTCAAGGTTTGTATTAGGACAAGCATATCAGCGCATCTACATACATAACAAAACCTAACTGCAAAACCTATAGACAATGATATGATCAATGGCACCAAACTACTCAATGTTGCTGGCATGTCTCGTGGCAAGCGTGATGGCATACTGAAGAACGAAAAGGGTCGTGTGGTTGTCAAAGTAGGAGCCATGCACTTGAAGGGTGTTTGGATCACTTTTGTAAGAGCCAAACTGTTGGCTGCTCAGTACAAGATTCAAGAGATACTGTATCCTTTGTTTGTGGAAGATCCAAGCGTCTTTTTGTATGCAACTGCTTTACATAATTCCATCAATACAAGCAGAATGAACGGCTTGAATGGCTACAGAACACAGCAGTATGGTAATTTCAATTCGTCATCATCTCCATCCAGTGCTGCTACAGGTGCTACACCCAACGCTTCTAGTATCAACCCCACATCATCAACCAACTGGGATCGCCATAATAACGAAAGCAATACTTCGAGTAAGTTGAGTGTGTCTGGTTTCCGTACGCACGCGGTCGAATGGCTCTTTATGTTTGTGCGTGCATGCGTGCGTGCGTGCGTGCGTGCGTGTATGTACTTGTTACTAATTATCCCTTTTTGTTTACTTTCTCCTTATATCTTTTGCTTCTCCTGTGTACTTTATTTCTCCTTAATCTCCATGTTGCTCTCTTTGTTTAGGCTATCGAAATGCAGGATTTCATGGTTCAATGATGAATCATCCTAGTGACGCTATGTTTATACTGTCTTCTCAAGTAGAATACAACAGCAACAGCAATCACAACGGTCATAGTAACAGACAATCCATTGGCGGCCTCGTGGGCGGGTACAATAACAATGCTGGCTCCAATGGGCCATATTCCGTCTATCAACAGCATCAAGACAAGCCCTCTCAAACTGGATCGAATAATCGCATGTACTTTTCAGATGAACTGCTTGATGATGGAGGAGGAAAGCAGAACCACGACTGTTCACTCTACGGTAAGCTGCTTGCAACATAATTCATGCAAAATTCATATGTATTTATTTGTACATGTGTATACAATGCAGGACATAAATCAATGCTACCTGGCACCCTCTCGTCTCCTACATCGTCTGAAGCTGGTATGTCTTTCCTGTTGTCGATTGCGAAGCTTCTAATGATAACACTCTGCTCTACTAGGTAATAAGGCATCTGCGTTTCATCTACCACCTTCACGTGGCAGTGGTGAATACGATAGCAATGCGACCACTACCGCTACATCTTCATCTACCACATCGACGCCGACATCTGCTGAGCGTAGACAAAGTGTGATCATGGCAACACCCAGAGTAGCTAGTCCTCGACATCATCCGTACATGTCACCTGGAAAAGTGTACACGCCAAGCATCATGTCGTCTCTACAATCTTATCGCCAATCCTCTCTGGACGAAGATCGTAAAGACGGTGACCTGGACAGCCAGCAACAGCACAGCATGGCTGCTGTTGCTGTTGCTGCTGATATCAATCGACACCCATGGTAAATTTCCAACACACACAATCTCTTATGATAACACGTTTTATGTTATATATATGTTATGCTTTACCACCCAAAAACCATTTGCACTCTATACAATGAAAACAACCCCAAAAAAAAAGCGCTCAACACTGTTTCTCCCCTGCTTCTTTCTCCTCTTCGCCATCTAGCATTATATATATATATATATATATATACCTCATTATATAAGCCCTTTTCTTTTCTCTAATTTACAAACAATCACACTTTTTATTTTATTTTATTTATGACACTTTCTTACTTACAACAACAACAACAACAACATCTTGATGATAATATTCACCTACACTAGATGAATATATATATATAAAACGAAAAATACCTTAATTTTATCATGTCTACATGTTTGTTTATTCTCCATGCTCAGATTAGCTGTGTGGTCAATTTCAAATTTCATGCAAATGAGAGATTTAATATCACGTGGGAACAGTGAGAGAATTCAAGCCGTTTCAACGTTTGGATCCAAACGACGTCAATTCATGTAGAACCATCAACAAATCCAGGAGAACCCCTCCATTTGTGTTTATTTACAAATATAAAGCAACTCGAGAGGTCAGTTTATTTTTTCCCTCTTTCTTCTTGTTCTCTACAACACATTTACATTTACAAATGACTGCTGGCTATCGTCCTGGTTCACCTGGTAGACCTGGTTCCTCAAGACCTGGCTCTCCTGGCGTTCATACAAAGGTGGAAGAAGATTTGCACACCATGGCTGGTATTGATTATGATAAGGCAAGTAGAGAGCTTACAAACTCACACCAACAACAACAGCCAATGCTTACGCGATATGTATAGGTCACTATCAAGCACAATCCATCTGTCGCAGTGCTCTACGAAGAAGCATTGACACATGAAATGGGCACTGTCATCTCATCCACTGGCGCCCTATGCTCTTACTCTGGCAAAAAGACAGGTAGAAGTCCTAATGACAAACGTATCGTCGAGGAGGAAGCTACTAGCAAAGACATCTGGTGGGGGCCTGTCAATACCAAAATGAGCGAACGAGTCTTTTTGATCAATCGTGAACGTGCTATTGACTACTTGAACACCCATCCTCGTTTATACGTCTTTGATGGCTATGCTGGTTGGGATCCCAAGTATCGCAAAAAGATCAGAGTAATTGCTTCCAGAGCTTATCACATCTTGTTCATGCGCAACATGTTGATCAGACCCACTGAAGAAGAGTTGGAGGACTTCGGTACCCCTGATTTTACCATCTTCAATGCTGGTGAATTCCCTGCAAATCGTTATACCACGGGTATGACCTCAACCACTTCCATCTCGGTCAACTTCAAGCGTCAAGAAATGGTGATTCTCGGTTCTGAGTATGCTGGTGAAATGAAAAAGGGTGTAAGTGTGTATTGAGGTCTGATCCAGGGTGCCCATACTGATCATCATACAACAGGTCTTTACCGTCATGCATTATTTGATGCCCAAAGCTGGTGTTCTATCGCTCCATTCATCTGCTAATGAAGGTCCTGATGGCGACGTTTCACTTTTCTTTGGTCTATCTGGTAAATAGCGAGGCTAAATATAATCATACCGTGAGAGAAATTTGTTCTAAAACCATGCATGATAAACAAACAGGTACTGGCAAAACTACGCTTAGTGCAGATCCCAAACGTCGTTTAATTGGAGACGATGAGCACTGCTGGAGTGATACAGGCATTTTTAACATTGAGGGTGGCTGCTATGCTAAATGCATTGACTTATCTGCAGAGAAGGAGCCAGAGATCTACAATGCCATTCGATTTGGTTCTGTACTTGAGAACGTGGTCCTGAATGAAGATTCTCGCCAAGTGGATTACGAAGATGATTTCTTGACCGAGAACACGCGCTGTGCCTATCCCATTGGTATAATACAAAAATCAACATGATGTAGACTTGCTTGATATACTAACACTATGCTTATTCTTTCAGACTTTATTCCCAATGCAAAGATTCCTTGCATTGGTGGCCATCCCAAGAACATTATTCTCTTGACCTGCGATGCCTTTGGTGTGATTCCACCTGTTTCCAAGCTGACCCCTAGCCAAGTCATGTACCATTTCATCAGTGGCTACACTACCAAGGTAGCAGGTACAGAAGACGGCATTGTAGAGCCTACACCTACATTCAGTGCTTGCTTTGGTGCACCTTTCCTTGTCTTGCATCCTCAAAAGTATGCTACCATGCTTGCTGAAAAGATGAGCGCTCATGCAGCTGACGCCTGGTTGATCAATACAGGCTGGGTGGGTAATTCGGCCAAGAACGGAGGCAAGCGCTGTCCCCTCAAATACACGCGTGCCATCTTGGATGCTATCCATAAGGGTACTTTGGCTCAAGGTCAATTTGAAACTTATGAGGTCTTTGGTCTCGCTATTCCAACTGCTGTAGAGGGTGTTCCTGATGAAATCTTGCATCCCAGAAAGGCTTGGCAAGGCGTTCCTGATGATTTCCAGACTTCTCTCACTAGTGTTGCTGAAATGTTTGTAAACAACTTCAAGACGTTCCAAGATGAAGCTAGCCCTGAAACTTGCAATGCAGGCCCCCACATCTAAATCACCGTATAATGATTTTGCAAATAAAAAAACAATTTGTGCTAATTATATAAGGCGTTTGCGTTGTTTAGGTCATTGAATTATATCAGGCAAGGCAGTGGTCTTGCTGTGTATCAAGTTTTGTTATGAAATCTGGGTGTTACGAGTGATGGAGCTTCTCAATATGTGCATACTTGATGAGCGAGCTGGAGCCCAACTGTTAATCGCTCCAAGCCGGATGAAAATCATCATGTGCTATGAACACTCTGGTCTAACAGGATTTAATACTACTATCATGGATCTCATGACATTTTGAGGATAAGCCATTATCATAATGCATATTCATGTAGAGGAGAAAGATATAAAATTTATTGAGAGATCACACAATGCAGCACTAGTGCAAGTAAATCAAATTTAAAACAAAGATTGTCCGTTGACCTTGGAGGGCGTCTACACAAGCACAAACACAATGAGGTGGATCCTGTGTATAACAAGGTTGCTACTTACCATGACTTTCAAGAACTCTTCATAGTTGATCAAACCATCACCATCAACATCTGCAGATGCCATCATCTCTTCAACATCGGCCTCAGTAACAGAATTGCCTAGGTAAATCAGATAGATCAATATATTGTGGTGTGAGTTTTTTTTTTTCAGATGGTAAAATGTTACCAAACAAAGAAACACCGCGCTTTAAATCCTCGCCAGTGAGTTGGCCATCATTATCGGTATCAAGCATATCAAAAACCTTTAGAATACCCTCTTCAGCATTGGTATCGTGTTGCTAGTAAAAAAAAATATAGAAACGTAAGAACCCAAGATGTAAGGGCTTCTATTCCCAAGGGGCTGCTCTTCTTTTACCTTGGTCATGACGGCTAAAAAGTCATCAAAATCAACTTTACCATGGCCCTTTGCATCAGCAGCACGGATCTAATGGTTTCCAGATGGTGAGAAATGTTCCGCTTTCAGGGATTTTAGGACATGATGATTCTTTACCTGAGAATTGATTTCAGCATCAGTAACCTTGATACCGGCAGTCTTGTAGATTTCCTTCAAGGTCTCTGCAGTCATTCCATTACCCTTTGTAAGAGACTCGAACTTGGCTTGCCAGTGGTTGATCTCAGCATCAGTAAGTGTTGAACCAGTCTATGCATGGCATCAACACATGTGCTTCCTTTTGATGAATATAATTTCAACTTACCATGATTTGTATAGATGTGTATGGAGGGATGTTTACAAAAAAAAAAAAAAAAAAAGGGAAAAGAGAGAAAAGAAAAAGAAACGGGATCAAGACGAGTTGAAAATGCAACTTGACCCAAGAAATAAGGGATGGATTTCTCGATTTGCGTCATTCTCTATTGTTTGATATAGACAAACAAAGATCCTTTGGGAGATTTTTTCCTTAATGCTTTCTATTCCAATAGTTTATCCTATTCTACAAATCATGTTATTCATTTCATCAAGGAAAGAGAAGAACAGTGTTGTGTGTGCAACATCACTCCAAACAAATAGATTTGTGTAATGCTGTATACTCTATGGAATTTCATATTGAACGCTATAGTTTGCTTGTATGAAATGAGTGTGGTTATATGTAATCTAGCACTGTCGACGTAGGTGTGCTTCTTGGTCAGAGTACTGTGCTTGGATCTCTGTATGCAATTTTGCTTTATTGGTTTTATTCGCTTAGCAACTGTTGTGCCACGCGATAGTTTCCCTTGCACATTATATACCTTAATACAACACATGATATATTCTAAACATGGCAAGATCAAGTTTTTTCTGTCTGCTTGATACATATATAAGCGGCCGAAATCGCAAGGCTGTGGAAGTTATACAGATTGGAGACCTTTATATATCATCTTAATAGCACCGATTAAGGTGGTTTCATGTTACTAATGATTCATTCAGCCGTTGCCATTGGCTAGATCAGAAACTCATTGGGTGTGCCTGAGTTGCCCTGTACCTCGTACCCAAGGGAAATAAGATCCAGTACACGGATAAAAAGTCTATTTCCATGCTACACGAGCCAGTTAAGATTATTTCCCGCGCATTGAAATGCATTAATGAATTAATACTCATTGTTTTCCAATTTTTTGATATTTTAATGAATAATTATGATAAAATTTAAAGTGGATCGAATAGAATAAAACGAATATACAGAAAGAGAGATTCTAATTGGAAATGATCAAGAAATAACTACATCCGTTGTATACTAGGTTTCTTCAAATCAGGGTTGCTTAAAAGATGGGGACACCTTGAGTGATCTCCTTGGGCTTGAGGACCTCACCAGTCAAAGCCTTACTTAAGAGACCGTATTCTTCTTGGAAATGCTTCTTCTTATTACCAGTAGCGACAGAGGCAGAAGGAGCACGACCAGCATAACGAGGAGACTTACCAGCATGATGTTCGGTTTGAGACAAGGAGGTAGTGATACGAGGTTGGACGTGTTGCCAGACACCCATGTTCAAGGGTTCTTCTTGACACCAGACAATCTCAGCGTTAGGATACTTGTCAGCATGTTCCTTGACTTGCTCATAAGGGAAGGGGTTGAGTTGTTCGATACGAGAGATGGCGACATCGTTGATCTTGTTTTGTTCACGAGCCTTCAAGAGAGCGTAATAGACCTGACCGGTACACATGATGTGCTTGGTGATCTTCTCGGGCTCAACGAGATGCTCAGGATGCTCTTCAGGCAAGTAGAGTTGGAAGTGGGTCTCACCGGTCAATTCCTCCAAGTTGGACTTGGCAAGGGGATGACGGAGCAAAGACTTGGAGAAGGGCATGATCAAAGGCTTACGGAATTGACGGCAGATTTGACGACGCAAGACGTGGAAGTATTGAGAGGGAGTGGAGGCATAGACAACTTGCATGTTGCAATCTTGATGTTGGCGAGACAACTTCTCGGCAGAGGGGTAGACGTATGGGTTGTCATCACAGAGTTGCAAATAACGCTCGATTCTGGAGGAAGAGTGTTCAGGGCCCTGGCCGTCATAACCGTGAGGAAGAGACAACACCAGGCCAGTGCGTTGGAGCCACTTTTGCTCACCAGCAGCCAAGAATTGATCGACAATAACTTGAGCAGTGTTGGCAAAATCACCGAATTGAGCTTCCCAGACAACGAGAGAGTCAGGGTTGACGAGAGAGTAACCCAATTCGAAACCAAGAACACCATATTCAGACAAAGAAGAGTTGGAGATGGAGAGAGCACCTTGTTCAGGGCTGATGTGGTTCAAGAGAGTGTACTTGCTGCCATCCTTTTGGTCGTGGAGAACGGCATGACGTTGAGAGAAGGTACCACGCTCAACATCTTGACCAGAGATACGGATGTGCTTGCCTTCAGTGAGGAGAGAACCCCAAGCCAAAGCTTCAGCAGTAGACCAATCAATGTCCTTACCTTCGTTCAAGGACTTTTCGCGGTTTTGAAGAATACGCTTCAGGTTGCGATGAATGTTGAAGTTGTGAGGGAGGGTGCTCATTGCCTTGCCAACAGTTTGGAGGGTTTCAAGAGGAACACCAGTGGGATAATGAGGCAAGTTCTCTTCGGCTAATTCCTTGGGAGACTTGAATCCAGGCCATGAACTGGATTGCCATTCACTGGAAGTAGGCTTGTAGTCCTTGCTACGAGAGTAGCTGTCTTCAAGGATATCCCAGACACGCTTCTTGTTTTCCTTGATATCGCTGTCAGTAAGAGAGCCTTCTTCCTTCAATTGAGTCTCGTAGATCTGAGCAACAGGCTTTTGCTTGGCAATGGCCTCGTACATGCGAGGTTGGGTGAACATGGGTTGATCAGTTTCGTTGTGGCCGTGCTTACGGTAACAGACCAAATCAATGACAACGTCCTTGTGGAAGGTTTGACGCCAGTCAGCAGCCAATTGCATGACATAGGTAACGGCTTCAGCATCATCACCGTTGACGTGGAAGATGGGAGCATTGATAGACTTGGCAATATCAGTACAGTAAGGAGTGGAGCGACCGTAACGAGGATCAGTGGTGAAACCAATTTGGTTGTTGACAACGACGTGGATGGTACCACCAGTAGAGTAAGAGGGCAAGTCATGGAAACCCATGGTTTCATAGACAATACCTTGACCAGCGAAAGCAGCATCACCATGAATCAAGACAGCCATGGAGTGATCACCGTTAGGGTCCTTGCCATAGTATTGAAGAGCACGGGTCTTACCGAGAACAACGGGATCAACAGCTTCCAAGTGAGAGGGGTTGGCAACCAAGGAAAGGTGAACACGCTTACCAGAGGGAGTAGGACGGACATAGTTCATACCAAGATGGTACTTGACATCACCAGAACCTTCTTCAGAGGGCTCAAGAGCACCGCTGAATTCACAGAAAATGGATTCATTGGGCTTGCGGACAACGTTGGAAAGGACGTTGAGACGACCACGATGAGGCATACCAATGACAATGGATTCAACACCAAGATCAACGGAGCGATCAATCTACAAAAGTCAACCTTTTCAATACATGCTTCTCTCAAGCTAAATAGCAACTTACCATGGCCTTCATACCAGGGATCAAAGTCTCACCACCTTCAAGACCGAAACGCTTCTCGGAAGGATACTTGGAGGCAACAAAACGCTCGAAACTGTCAGACCAAGTCAAACGATCCAGAATAACACGCTTCTCCTCAACGGAATACTTGAAAGGCTCGGGGGTTTCAATGCGTTCACGAATCCAATCACATTGAGCACGATCAGGAATATGAATGTACTCAACACCGATGGAACCACCTATATGATAGAATTGAGTTAATTATGGTTCCCTTCCTTCCCTTTGCCTTCCTCCACCGCCTCGCTACTTAATCAAATATACTTACAGTAAATCTTCTTCAAGTGAGAGATGATTTCACGAAGAGTGAGAGTGGCGCCAGACTTGGTGAAAGCAGGCAAAATACCAGGACCAATGGTGAAAGTTCTGTCGAGATCGCTATCCTTGAAACCGTAGTAAGTGTGCTCTAATTCGGGAGGGGTGGATGAGTTGAGATCAGCATGTTGAATACCCAAGGGATCCAAGTTGGCAATGTGATGACCACGCACTTGATAAGCTCTGGACAAGAGTTGGATCTTCATGTGGTCAATGACTTCAGAGGAACCACTGGCACCAGCAATACCATCACCGGGCAAGACAGGCAAACGAGCACTGGCAGAGGGCACTAAAGTAGGGGGAGGAGTGTATGCTTGGCCAGGAGAGACACCGTTAGCCATGTTTTTGAAATACACTTGCCAAGATAAATGCACAGAGGAGGGCTCCTTTAACCAGGCTTCGTACATTTCCTCGATATAGTTGGCAGAGTTTCCATGCAAGAAACCATCGTTTGTCTCGGGTGCAGCGAAACGAGCTTTGTTGGTATGGAAAGGTGCAACGGAAGCACGTACAACTGATTGACGAGCAACTCGAGGGATGGTCTTGATAGAGGGTCTAATTGCGTTAGACACTCTATTGAGTGCTGATAAGCGATACATTTTTAATATATAAAAAAAAAAGAAAAAAGAAAGCGACTAGGAAAAAGTCAGAGTGGAGGAAAGGGGTGGTTGTTTGTGTTTTGTGGGGTAAATATTGAAGGGAAAGGTCCATATTTAAGAGAACTTCAATGGTGCTCTTGTGACGTATACACGAAAATTACGGCTCAACTTTAGGCACATCGCTTGTATACGGGAAATTCTCCCGGTTTTAAACGGTGCTTCCGCTCTAAATGTGGAGACATATCAGCCAAATCCCTATAGATAGCATGCAAACAAAAGAAAATGTGCTTTTATCTGAATAAAATGTCGATTTATGCATCATGTTTTCAGTCGATACAAGCCTTGATTAATATGAGAAATGTAATGTTTCTGATTTTCTGGGCACATGCAACAGAGCCACTGGCAACCCTGGAGAAAAAGTGTAACCATCTTGTATGTTGGAATTTGCCCTGTTTCCCCGACATTTAACTTGAATTTCCAACAATGAAAATTCTCAGCAAGTGTTCCCTTTAATAGTTGAATGCTCCTTGTTTTTGGCGCAAGAGTCGCATGTGCATGCAATGGTCGAATTACTAGGTTTTTAGAGACACTTGTGTATGTAATTCAAAATTCAGGGCACCCCTATAGATCATTTTATTGACATTGCATGTTTCAAACCATATTTAGATGCTTTAAACCACCGCCTGTAGTTGAATACGGGGATCAACCTTGTTTGTTCAGCAAACATGGGATAAAGTATGTGTATACCTTGTCTATATTGACGGATAACTGCGCATTAAATAAGCTACTTGATAGACAAATTAACCGTGCTAACATTTATCAACGTTGGCCGCATCAATATCCTTTGAGTGTGTGCAAATGAAGTTTACCTAATACTTCTCGTAATAGTTTATCCATTCTCGATCTCAAAATGAGGGGAAGATAGTCTGACACGTTTTTTGACAGACGGCTTGAGCTCCCAAAAGCTAAAATGCTGATCTTCTTTCAAACTTTACTTCAAAATACTTTATCATCCAATATTGTACTAATATTTCATCTTTCAACTGTTTGCAAGCACTAGAAATCATTCCAAACTGATCTGGAGCTGTCGACCTCACGTTTCCAGGATGCTCTACGTCTGTTTTGACGAGAAAATTTCCGATTCAAGTAAACAGCATACTTGCATTACCTCTTATGACTCAAATAAATGGAAAACATAGGGTAATTTGGATGCATTTGAGCCGTGTTTTCTCGTGACAGAAGGCATTTTAAACTGTCAAAATAGTACCAAACAATTGCTTTCTTCCAGCAGTTACTTTCTGACGCCTTTGCTCAACTTTTTGAGGATCAATAAAACATGGATGAAATTCGACTAAAAAGCATGAGGTACCCCTCATGGTTTTTATCAAAAATCAAACGATCGCGTTTTTGACCTTGATAATGAAGACTTTTGCTATGATATATCTTGAATCAAAATGCTTCTATATATCCAAGGCAACCCCTGACACCACGTCTATCAGACATTCATATGCAAAGTTTCGACATTTTGGCCAGAAACCTCTTTTCATATTTTCATAAAATGCTCAATAGGTTTATTCAAAATATCTATCTTAATGGGTACCATTGGATGCGCCTTGAAAAGCACTCCAAGAAAGCTTAAAGAAGCATAGGATGATTATCATATTTTATAGTCGAATCTTGAAAAATAATTCAATCAAGTCGCAAATTGATCTTAAATTAACGAATTGAGACAGAATGTCGAGCGGCATTTAAATGTTTTTTTTTGGCAGGCAACATGCCTTTACGATGATAATCGATGCTTCTGAAGCTAATAGCAGCGAGATTGCAAATTGAAAAGTACTCTCAATTATTCTAGCTAATTTTTTCACTCAATCTTATACATTTTATAGTTGTGATATTCAGTTGTTGCAAGGCGTACCTCTAAATAAGATTCTAAAAGCGAAAGGCAAAAATTGTCCACTTTTTTTATTCGTTTAAGCAAGCGAATCAATTACGTTATCAAAAGAAACTTGCTTTTCTTTATTCGCTATTTACAGATGAAGTGAAGTATAGGAGTATATATGAAAAATGGATAGAGGAATGATTTAGAATAAAAGAAATAGGAGTGCTTAGGCAGCCTTCTTGACTTCAAAGTCCATGACAATGTCTTCAACTGAACGACCCTTGGTTTCTGGAACACAATAGTAAGTAAAGGCAACAGCAGCAGCGGCGACACCGGCAAAAATGGCAAATGAGTAGCCCTTGATACCAGCAAAGATAAGAGGGAAACATTGGCCGATCAAGAAATTCATGGCCCAATTGACAGCAGTAGCGACAGAACCGACAGCAGATGAAGCATAGACAGGTGTCAATTCAGAGGTCATCATCCAAGGAATGGGTCCAACACCAATAGCAAAGGAAACGACATAACCAAAGACAGATACAATCAAAAGAGCGCCAATATTGTACACATAGCCGATAATCAAGAGCACAGAAAAGATACAAGCGCCGGTTTCCGCAATCAAGAGCAAAGGACGACGGCCCATACGGTCAATCAAGATCAAGGACAAGATGGTAGAAGCAAAGTTGACAGCAGTAGTGACAATAGCCATGTACATGGACATCTCGGCATCAAACGACATGTTGAAGATGGTAGTAGAGTAATACATTACAGCGTTCATACCAATCAATTGTTGAGTGATGTGGAGCGTGATGACAGTGAGAGCAATACGACAGATAAGAGGATCCTTAAAGATACCCACCATGCCCAACGTATCATGGACACCAGCGGCACCACCAGGACCTTCTGTTATGGAGGTAGGTGTTTTTGTAAGCTCAATGCCATCTTCAATGTGTTCCTCGTTGTAGTTATCCTTCAAGTCAGTCTCATCAAATCCAGGCTTGATATCGGTGCCGGTCAAAGATTCAGCAGCGGCTAGACCCAACTGGCCTTCTACCATACTAAAGAACTCTTTATCAATGTTGGCATTGGGACGCAGCCTTTGAAGAGCTTCTCTAGCTTCTTCAATACGGTTGATGGAAATGAGATAACGAGGAGACTCAGGACATCCAGCCATCAAGAAAAATTGAGCAATAGCAGGAATGGCGACGATAGCATAATTGATTCTCCAAAGAGGGACGTAGGCAAGAGGAAGACCAATGACCGAAGCAAGTAGGATACCAATAACAATGGCAAATTGGTTACAGGTACCCATGGTACCACGAGCTTTGATAGTGGAGATCTCACCAACGTAGGTAGGCGTGGAAAGTGAACCAAGGCCACAAGAAAGACCACAAAGAATACGACCAACTATGAACATGGCAGGATTGACAGCGACACCGATCAACAAGGCCCCAACAATCCAGCCCATATTGTTGAAAATGATGGTCTTTTTACGACCGAATTTTGTTTGGATTTGGCCACCAAAGAGACCACCAAAGAGACCACCCACACAGAAAGAGGCAACAGCAAAGCCCCAGAGACCTGTATTCATAGGTAGACAATCTGGAAACGCAGCACTAGCAATATGTGCAGCGCCGTTTTCGCAAGCATGAGTCACTTCACCAGGCACATTGGCGGAACCAATGACCCAGCCATTACTGAAGGAGCCAAGACAGGCTACTACTACACAGTAGACCATAAATCCTGGCATTTTCATATCAAGAGAATCCATTTTGTTGAGAGCTTTATAAGAGAATTTACGTTTAGATGAAAAAGAACAGGGTCTGCAATCGCTAGACATTTATATACGTTTGGGAATTAGACGTGCCTTGAAACCATCATGGATGAGCGCCGGTTGACCTGATATCTGTATTCGCATTATTTGTTTCGAATTAAAGTGTGTGTTTTAAAAGATATAGGTTGCATTATTGTGTCTCAACAGATATACCAAGTGAGAGCATCTTTATTAGTTGTGCTTGGGAACAGGAAATACTTTATAGAATGGCACTAGGTTCCAATGCATTAGATCCACTACTAGCAGACTTTTCCCTCAAACCTACTGGGAAAAAGCTTACATGCCAACTAGAAGTATTCGGTACCTTCCCCAAGGTGATTTCCTTGTTTGAGCAACATTAGTAAGAAGGGGTTTGTATTGGTTTTCTATGGAAAGACAAGCTGGCTTGTCCATGTTTCAAAGCAATACATTTTGATTGTTTGAATTCGCCATGCCAATGTTGCAATTTCAAGGCTCGCTTAGGCAAGTACATACAAGAACAGCAAAGATTCAATGTATGCAAGTAGCAACTCGTCATCATTCTTGTACTTAGGAAAGTATAGATATCTTTTCTTGGAGTGAGTATACAGTAATCTTTATTAGATTTAAAGCAAAAAGACTAGTAGTAATTCCCCTATAATATTTTACCCGAGATCCATCGACTAAACATATCCAATGTCACTTGAGGTTGATCGTACGGTGCCATATGGCCAGCATGAAACAATCTCAAAAAAGTCAACGATTCACTTGATCTGATAGTACCAACAGCCGTTCCATTCGAGTACCAATCGGCATCCTCTTGTTGAGAGTACTTGAGATGACCATACCAAGGTACATTGATGGTGCAGGCACGTACGCCCTTCCAATTGCACATCAAGTCTGCATCCCCAGCATAAGCCAGTAGCGAGATGTTGCTGTTCAATAGAGCGGGTATCTGATGGACATATGGCCTCATCCAGTCGCCTGCAACCTGAAAGTCCATGTTGACTTTATGACTACACAATTCGAACGAAAGGGATGATTTGACACCCAATGCCTTTTTAACGTCCGAACGATCTAGATATGTTTTAACTGCAGCAAAGTAATCATAACACAAGGGCCCACCTGATATTCAAATTGAGGTCGAGAGGTGTCAGTTTCTGGTTGTTTCTCAACGTTTTGATTGCATCTTACTTTGACATTGTTTCCGAATATCGTACATGTTTAATTTCAAGTCGTTCAGGATGGGCTGAACAACGAGTGCGTTGCATACCTTAGACGCCAAAAGACAAGTATCTGTTGATTTCTCGGCGAATGGAGTGGAGGTGATGTTTGAGTTTCTATAGCATGATTCTATCAGTTTTTGGCATTCATGTTGATGCAATTCTATTTCATCGCATTTTTCAGAGGACGACACAAGGGTTCCATAAGCTGATTCTTCGCAGGCCATGGATCTGTAATACTTGTACTGTTGCAAAGGGTCTGTCAATCCATTGCCAATGATGAGGCTCTTTAGCTGAATGGGTGAATGCGGTGTCTCTGCGTTTTTCTCTGTGATGGCAGTTGCAATGGCAGGTAAAAAGTGCCCTGCATCTGTCGAGCATGTATTTTAATGCCAACTGATTGCATATTTGAAGACCATCAACTTACATGATTCACCAGCAATATGGAAATCCGATTCAGAGAACTCTATGATGGTATACAAAGAGAATCAGTTTTGTTTGCTGAGTGTATATGAACAGCTGGTCTTACGCGAGAATTCCTTAAAGAATAGCTGTAGAAACACATAAACATCATGAGCAGCCGTGTTGCTATCGTTAATGCGAGGCACTGTGGTATTTTCCTGATACGAGTAGCCCGAATTGACAGGCTATTAGTAGAATGTATTGGTGAAAATGAACGTGTGCACACTGTCATTGAATATACCTGATCGAGATAAATGATGTTGGCTACTTGGTTCCATGATTGTGAATTGCGCAATAAGCCGTCGCCTTTGTTATTGGCATGACACGGTCTATATTATAAATGGTTAAACTAGACAATGCTTTGCATTTCGCTAGCAATTTACCCAATGCCCATAAATAAGCCCATCATGGATGAGCAGCCAGGACCACCGTTGATCCATAGCAATGTTGGATCATGAGCAGGGTCGTTGTTGCTCTCAAAGAACCAAAAGAAAAAGTTCTTTCCGCTTGGCAATTCAAAATAGCCAGATGTCTATATAATCGCCACTTTATCAGTTGATAGGACACACAATGAGACCCGTTCTGTTGTACCTGTTTAGTGCCTGTATCACATAGATTTGGATGTGTGTATCTCAGTGAGTAATCCGGGAATTCCGCATGAACAGACCGCTTCATGATGGTGATCGCCCATGCTGTAGTAAAGCACCCTAGCAGAGTAATGAGGTAAAGCATAGCAAAAAGAGAGCAAAAGGCGTTTGTTGCATTTGAAAACAAGTATTTAATATATGTACCATCAAAAGAGCCCATTGTTTACAGTTGCAACCCACGGCAGAATAAATAGGCCGACGATCCCTTCATTTTACTGCTGTTCTCTTTGTTTCCAGCAAATCTTTTTTCCTTCTCTCTCTCTCTCTTTCAGCATCATCCTCAAACTATGGTTTGGCCATTCAACAGCAACAATAATCAAATTAGGTCTGAATCTTCGGGCAAACTGCTCGATAGTCGGCAGAATTCATCTGCCATTGATGAAACTGTGATGCCGCCACATCCCAGCAACATCAAACCTCAGGCACAGCAACAGCAGGAAGAAGAGGAGAGCGATGAGTTTATTGGCAAGTACAAATATGCACCACAGAGACGAGACGAAGAGATTCCAATGGATCTAGGCGACCTTCAAGACATATTCAGCTTTAGCTTTATGAAGGGAAGACCTATACTCAACTTCTTTTTAGCCATCTTGTGGAGTGTTGGTTTGCCGATATTGATTTACAACATTTTGAAACCTCATATTGGCCAAGTTTTAGCCATGATCGTAGCATCCGCACCGCCATTAGCCATTGTCGTCATGTAAGTAAAATGCAACAGCATATCATGAGATGCATTCATGTTGGTGTACATATAGTCGCATGTTGAAGGATCGTACGTTTGACCCTCTTGGATGTGTGGCTGGTGTCAGTTTTCTTGTATCCGGCATTTTGGTATGTAATACAATGGTGGTTCTTTTTCATAGCATGCACTCTCATCTATCATCATAGTCTATTGCCGAACCAGATGAGAAAACCGGCGCCATTTGCGAAGGCATTGTGCCATTGCTCGTTGGTATCTGTTGTGTTATTTCAGTCATCCCCATCAAAATTGGCTCGTTCGAGCTCAAGCCACTAGTGTTTCAAATGGCTAATCAAGTTATGCCAAGACCTGAAGACGAGGATTTGCAGAAAAACGATGATCAGCGCCTTACGTCCACCACGAAGCATGCTTCAGGACGAAAAAGACTGGACTATCTCTACGACAACATGGCTAAATTTCGTCATGATATGCGCTTTATGACGGTAACCTGGGGACTCTTGCTGATCGCCGCCTTTGTCGTCAAGCTGATTGTTGTGTTGACAAGCACAGATATTGGCCATGCTCAGATGGTGGGATACATTTTGTTTGGTTTAGCAACATTTTTCATGATGATATTCACTTGGATTTACACCAAAATTGTCAAGGGCCATGTCCTATCGCAAATTGCATTTTGGAGGGACGAACAGGAGCCCACACCGATGGATTCAAGCACGGAAGCTGTTCAAAACGTGAATTGGGGTGTAAATACAATGTCAAATGCCTTTTCGCAAGTCGCTGGTTGATGATCATTCGAGTGTCACTTGCTGTGGGTTCGCACACATACACTAATTGAGTTTTTATTTCGCTCTCTCTCTTTTTCTCTTTTCCACCCCCTTTAAACACCTTGTTTTTTCAAGCAAAATAAATATACACACCTTACACCATGTCCTCTACTCCAGCAGTGAAACAATACAAAGCTCTAGGCGAAGAAGTTTGGAAGTCCAAAGTAGATAAGATTGTACGTTGATGAACACGCGCGTGGATGTATGCTCTTTCTAACAAACATCATCACACATACACTCCTTTAGAATGCTGAGCTCTTTACTCTAACATATGGTTCCATGGTGGTTCAATTAGTCAAGGATTTCGAGGATTATGGAGAAGTCAATAAGCAGCTGGAAAAGATGTAAAATGTGCCCTGATGTGTATATCACCGAGACGATTGCTTAAATCACTATCTAAATATAGGGGTTACAACATTGGTCAGCGTATGATTGAGGATTTCTTGGCCAGATCTGGCATTGGTCGTTGCTCAGAGTTCAGAGACACAGCAGAGGCCGTCTCCAAGGTAGGTGGACATGTCAGAGACCGAGAACGAGCTCCAACAAGTATATCGTAATAGGTGGGATTCAAGATGTTTCTCAATATTTCGCCCACAGTGACGAATTGGTCAAGCGATAATAAAGAGTTCTCGCTTGTGTTTGATGAGAATCCATTGACTGATTTCGTCGAACTACCTGATGAAGCATTAGAAGGTGAATTATGGTACTCCAATGTGTATTGTGGTGTATTGCGTGGTGCCCTGGAGATGGTAATCATTGTGTGTGCTCAAAGAAATAAACAGGGTCACTAAACGACTGGATATGTAGGTTCAAATGCAAGTAGAGACTCACTTTGTAAGTGATACACTTCGCGGTGATGATGTAACTGAAATGAGAATCAAGTTGGTTCGTTATTTGGAAGAAGAAGTACCTGTTGGCGAAGATTAAATTGTAGATGATTGAAGAGAGGATACCTTGGATGTTGTATATTACACATATCGAACAGAATGAATAAACAGTGCTTTTTCTTTATTGTTTGATACAAAAATGTGGTATTATTGTGTCTTGTTGCCACGCATACGCATACGAGGATCAATCTAGGAGGGCTTGGTGTCAGTGCTGTGGATTCATATATGTATCAAGGGGATGTTACTGTACCATGCCACGTTTACACTCTGCAAAACTCTTCTTGATGCTTAGACATTCATCAGGCACATCTGCCTTGTGTTCTTCTTTAAAGCACTCTTTTACTGTGTTTCTCTTCTTTAACACGCAGTCTGATTTGAGCATGCATTCAATCAGTTCTTGTCGAATCTCTTGACAGTTAGATGGCATGGTTTGTTGTTTTAGGTGGTTGAAAAAAGGCAAATGACATCCCCCAGCAGAGCAGCAGCAGGATTTATTATCATGAGATATTCTTGACTGTCATTTTAAGGGCACATTCAGATAGCAATGTTGAGTGAGATCAATGCTAGAAGGTTAAATGCTGCATAAACCGTGTATGCGTGCTTCTGCGAGTGTTGGTCTCTTGCGTTGTTAGCAGGAGTTTGCACTACTGAGGATTGAATGCTCAAGACATGGGATAAATAATCGAATGTAATGCTGACAAAAGCCAAATGTTGTATTCATTTGACATATCTCTATTTAAAAATGGTTCAAGCCATGTACGCGATGGCAATCCCAAGCAGCCTGCTATACAGTTTCTGTCTTTTGATAAGCTAGCTTGACTCATAATGCGTTCTTTTCACCATCCATGGCTCCTACAGCCCATCAAAGCTTGATTTCCAGAGGTGATCCAATGAGATGACAGAATTCATGCAACTGTTCTGAGCCCTTTACTTTCGAATAACAGACACTGGACCCGGATACTTTGCTCTAAACCATGACGATGATATTCATCTGTTAGCCCAGCGTTCGAGATCTGGTGTCACGTTTGCCCTACAAGGCCTAAAGAAGCTCTGTTCCTTCTCCAATTAATGCCGTGGGAAAAACTAACGCTTGGATTGATATAAAAAAAATATCTTGATCTTTTTGGTACCTCTTTTTCTTTGTTTCTTTACTCTTTTACACCATGTTATCCCAAAGAATCATTCAACACACTCGCCATCAGTTGGCTAGATCAGTGAAGCCTGCTTCCTTTTCTGTGTTTCGTCAATTCCACTCTATCCATGAAGACAGTGCATCTGTCTTGCCCAACAATGTCGAAACTGCCAGTGCCTCTTTCAAGGTAAGCATCTTGACTTGAAACAGATGACAACCATATTGATGTGCGTTGTCGGATCTAGGAAAATGCTGAAAGGATGCAACGCTTGGTGGATGATTTGAACTTGACTACAGAAAAGATCAAGCTTGGTAAGTTGAGGATACATCTAGAGTAGTTCATGTCCAAGGAAATTCATCGTCTTGTCGGACACTAGGTGGTGGTGAAGCTGCTCGCAAGAGACATTTGTCCAGAAAGAAGATGCTTCCCAGAGATAGGTATGTAATATGTTCAAGATGGAGGCATTTGGATCTGAATGTTAACTGTAAATCAATACAGAATCAATCGTTTGTTGGATCCCAAGTAAGTTACTACCCATTTGTCTCGACTGCATAGATGGCGATTTTTAACTGTCATGCCACAAGTTCTCCTTTCCTCGAGCTTTCCGCTTTAGCAGGTCATGAACTATACGATGATGAGGTTCCCGCTGGCAGCATTATCACAGGTATTGGACGCGTGAATGGGTAAGTGGATTTTCATCAAACAAAACAACCAAATGGTCCGTGGGAATCTCTAACCTGAGTTCAAACCAGCGTGGAGTGTATGGTGGTTGCAAATGATCCAACTGTCAAGGTAACATGAGAAAAAATAAAATTAAAACTCGAGCGCTTTTTCTCACAATCATTTCGCTTTGCTTTAGGGTGGTTCTTATTATCCTATCACAGTCAAGAAGCATCTTCGTGCTCAGGAAATTGCAAAGGAAAACAACCTTCCTTGTATCTATCTCGGTAAGTGATTCAGGTCCAATCTATACAACACATTCCACTCAACTACCTATAAACATACAGTCGACTCTGGAGGAGCTAACCTTCCCAGACAAGCTGATGTCTTCCCTGACCGCGAGCATTTCGGTCGCATCTTTTACAACCAAGCCAACATGTCTGCTCAAGGCATCCCTCAAATTGCCGCTGTGATGGGTTCTTGTACTGCCGGTGGTGCTTATGTAAGTTTGTATTCACCGTTGCCATGGTTACAGACGACTAAACAGGATTATACAGGTACCAGCCATGGCTGATGAAAGTATCATTGTCAAGAATCAAGGTACCATTTTCTTGGCTGGTCCTCCTCTTGTCAAGGCAGCCATTGGTGAAGTTATTAGCCCTGAAGATTTGGGTGGTGCTGATCTTCATTGTAAGACTTCTGGTGTTACTGATCACTACGCTCTGGATGATGAACATGCTCTCGTGTTGGCCCGTAGAGTAGTAGGTACTTTGAACAGAACTAAGAAGCCTCAGTTGGACTTGCGTGTGCCCGAAGAGCCCTTGTATTCCCCTGATGAAATTGGTGGTATCGTGGGTGACAATTTGAGAAAGCCATTTGACAGTAAGAATATCATTTCTCGTATTGTTGATGGTAGTCGATTTGCCGAGTTCAAGGAGAACTATGGTACCACACTTGTTACAGGTAAAACAGTAGTATGGATCTGGTAAATTTGTAAATGTCACTCATGATGAATGTTTAGGTTTTGCTCACATTCATGGCAATCCCGTTGGTATTGTCGCAAACAACGGTATTCTCTTTTCTGAATCTGCATTGAAGGGTGCTCACTTTATTCAATTGTGTTCTCAAAGAGGTATTCCTCTTGTTTTCCTCCAAAACATCACTGGTTTCATGGTTGGTTCTTCTGCTGAAGCTGGTGGTATTGCCAAGAACGGTGCCAAACTTGTCAATGCTGTTTCTTGTGCCAAGGTGCCTAAATTCACCGTTATCACTGGTGGTAGTTTCGGTGCTGGTAACTATGGTATGTGTGGTCGTGCCTATTCTCCTCGTTTCTTGTGGATGTGGCCTGTAAGTAAAAGATATGATCTTTTTGATTTGCAATTATCATTAACCTCAATCTGATAGAATGCTCGTATCTCTGTCATGGGTGGTGAACAAAGTGCCAATGTGTTGGCTCAAATCACTAGAGAGAGTAAAGCAAAGAAGGGAGAATCCTGGTCTCAGGAAGAAGAGGAAAAGTTCATGGCACCCATTCGTGAAAAGTATGAAGCTGAGGGTCATCCTTACTACTCTAGTGCCAGATTATGGGATGATGGTGTTATCAATCCTCGCGATACTCGCACAGTCCTTGGTTTAGCCATCAGTGCATCCTTAAATGCTCCTATCGAAAAGACAAACTTTGGTGTCTTTAGAATGTAAACACAACATTATTTTGATTATAATAAAAAAATAGATTTAATCCTAGTGGATATTGATTGTTCCTGAGCCTAACGTATTTCAAATTGTCTATTCAAAACATTAAACTTGATGCAGGCAGTGTTTTAACCTTATCAAAGTATCGAGTGTTCGCATCAGCTTTGAAGCTTGACTCGCTATGATTTATAGAGTACCATACAGGCAATCGTTTACCCAATTTTGATCCATAACCTTCTACCAAATCGTGAGATCCCTTTCTTTGAAATTAGCCAAAGATCATCCACCTGAGATGTTGAAAACATACTTACTATTTCGAGAGTCCATAATTTTTGTTCCAATAAAACACAATTTTTGAATGATAAATGAGATGCTCTACGCAAAAGCTCCAAGGTAAGCTTCGCTGCTGAACCCAAAAGAATCTTTCCTTTTCAGCTAGTGAAGAGTGGGATCCTTCTTTATCCAGAGCATCCAAGATCTCCCCAATTGTGTTGTATTTGAAACAGTGTTCGGCAATAGTATGCTTCTCTGATTGAGAAATGCCTGGTGTCGTGCTCAAACGATCAGTTGAAGGCAGCCCTTCTGTAAAGTTGCTCGTTCCCTGTTCGATGTGAGCAGTGCTTGGGGCGTGCAAACCTGTCAAGTAATGTATCATGGCACCTAGGCGATTGGATGGAATAAAATGAGTATGACTACCGTAATAGCAACGAAATCATACAGTCTAAGAATAATAGATCTTACACAAGATGTTCAGCTTTGGATCTTTCTGCGCATAATGCAAGATAAACACCGTAATTGCCCTTCAAACGAGAGAGATAATAGCTACTTGCCCCATCACAAAAATGCCCAATTCTTGATCACTGTAGTTTTCATACCTTGAGGCTGGAGCACAGCATCTCGATCATTTCCGGATTTGCTGCATTTAAGAGCCTTGGATTGTTGAGCATCGTGGTAATGCTGCTATTTTTCTTCTCGGTCAAAAGACTAGAAAAAGGCATTCCTGACTAAATTATTTATGAATAAGGATGTTCAAAAACCTTCTTTCAGAATCAGCATACCTTGACAAGAGAAATCTATACAGCAGTTAATGTCAATTTCGTAGCATAGCCTTCATATTTTGGTGAATGCCTTACGTTTTGACTTTGTGAACCGAGATAGCTGGCTGCTTTGATTTGATGCTGGCTTGTTTCTGAAATAACGAATCGCTTCATGCTATCGTTGTATGAAGGGCTCTTGTATCGTAGATACTATTTCTTTTATCTAATATATATACTGTAAAACATTCAAAAAAAGTAGACAAGCCAATCATATCCTTTTAAAATTTAATAGTATTAAAAGCCAGAACAAACGAGGGCATAACCACCGGCGAAGCCGGCAATGGGGAGGGGGTTTGGGGGAGGGGGCTTAGCCCCTCCACCAAGAATATAAGGCACCAAAAAAAAAATTTGATACATTGCTTTTTGTTATTATACGTACGTAATAATATGCCTCCTACTATTCAAACAAGACACTGCACGACCTGTAGAGCTGCTCTTCCAGTAGACTATGCTTATCGGAAATGTGATTCATGTCGAGTAAGTAAAATGGCTTTTAACGCCTAATAAAACCCTGAGACGCAATGGTTTATTTTGTTTGTACTCAAATTCAGGAACGAGCGCGAAATTACGCCAGGCAAAGAAGATTGGCGAATCGAAGAACACCAAGAGCACCTGCAGCGTTTGTATCAGAACTTGGAAGAGTACAACGTTCAGATTTGGGCAGAATGGACAACCAATGTGATGGATGTGGAGCTTTGCATTGGGCCGCAGAGAGGGCTGTTCAACAGCGAGTAAACGACAACTGCTTTCATGCTTGCTGCAAAAAAGGTAGAGCTGTCTTGCCCCTTTTGCAAGAGCCTCCCGAGCCTTTAAATAGCTTGATCAACGGAAGCCATCCTCGATCCTCTCATTTTTTGCAGCACATGCGACAATACAACACTTTGTTCGCATTTACATCATTTGGCACCGATGCTACGCCTGAGCAGCTCCAAAGGGATAGAGAGAATGAGATGAGAGGCGGCATCACGCCGGTTCGTGTTCATGGGGAACTCTATCACTTGCAAGCACCACTAAATTTGAGCAATGTGCCAAAGTATAGCCAGCTGTACGTTTACGACCCAGAGTATGCCGCTGCGATTCGCTGTGCAGACCCCAGAAATCAAGGATTGGACGACACGATCATTGAGCAACTGAGTGAAATGATTGCTGATCCTGTAGTTTGTGGCAATCCATTTGTAAGCATCTACAAACATGCTCACGAAATCCTGAAAGAAGAAGAGGAGAGGCAAGCTCAAGATGGTGTTAGCGAGAATGCTCACATCAGGCTCAGTCCTCAGATGCAAATGGAATTGGTTGTTGGCCAGGACAGACGCACTCAAAATCTGCCAACTGTCAACGAGATTGCTGCCATCATTCCAAACGAGTGTTCTGACAGGAGTTTCAGAGATATTTTGATCACATATCGTAGCAATTCCTCGGCCAGGGCTCAAGGCCAGTTTAAGCGTATCAATGAGACGCATGCTGCATATATGCCTCTTCATTATGCTTTGCTTTTTCCTAGAGGTGAATATGGGTGGAATTGGGGCCAAAGACTGCAATCGTCAGCGCAAACTGCTGATGCCATGATTATTGAGAGCGAAGAAGATGAGACACCAGCAGAGCAACAACAACAACAACAAGTGTCAGATAGCCGACTTACCCAGGGCGTGTTCTACAGATTTCGATTGCATGTTAGAAACAACGAGTCAAAGATCATTTTTTTGTCAAGACGTCTATTTCAACAATATGTGATTGATGCCTGGGCAATCTGTGAGCAAACAAAACTGAACTGGATCAAAGTCAATCAGACGAATCTTCGCGCTGATGTGTATAAAGGACTTGCTGATGCTACCTCTGCTGCTGACTCAGACCTCGAACAGGTGGGAAAGACGTTCATCTTGCCCAGTAGCTTCACTGGTGGACCGCGATTCATGATGCAGCTATATCAAAATGCAATGGCTATCTCTAGATTCTTTGGTAAGCCAACGTTATTCATCACATTTACTGCCAACCCAAACTGGAGGGAGATCCAAGATGAATTGTTGCCAGGCCAAACAGCCGCTGATCGCCCCGACTTGGTTGCTCGAGTATTCAACCTTAAGCACCGAGAGCTGCTTAAAGACTTGAAAGACAGAAAGGTCTTTGGCTGTTATAAAGGCATTGTAAGGACTATTGAGTATCAAAAGCGTGGTCTCCCTCACGGTCATATGCTATTGTTTTTGGATGCAGAAACAGATAGATTTGATACGCCAGAGAGGATTGATCAGATCATTTGCGCTGAGATCCCAAATGTTGAAGAAGAACCTGAATTGCATGCAATCATCACTCGCAATATGATGCATGGCCCATGTGGCGAGCTAAACTCAAAGTCTCCGTGTATGGTACAAGATGCTTTTGGCAATGATGTATGCTCAAAGAAATTTCCCAAAAACTACCAGCCAGTAACGGTGACCAGTGCTGATGGTTATCCTACTTATAGAAGAAGAAGAGATGGTCGTTCTCATCAGGTGCGCGTCAAGGACAAGTTGGGTGTCTACCGCGATTTCCACATGACGAATGAGTGGGTGGTGCCATACAACCCTTATTTGTCAAAAAAATACAATGCCCATGTAAATGTCGAAGTATGTGGTAGCGTCCAGGCAATCAAGTACATCAACAAGTATATTTACAAAGGCTCTGATCAGACAACGCTCAAAACTACAGCCACCACCACAGCCACTGAAACAGCAAATGCCACTACCACAGCAACAACTCAGAATAACGAAGTAGCCAAGTATCTAAATGGCCGTTATATTAGTCCTGTTGAAGCTGCATGGAGGTTGTTTGAATTCCCAATGCATGAGGAAAGCCCATCTGTTACTCCACTTGCTGTGCATCTTGAAAACGAGCAACCTGTTTATTTTGATCCCCAATGGCCACAGGAGAAAATTGACAAAGTATTGAGAGAGAGTCGCTCTACTTTGATGGCTTACTTTCATTACAACCATGCAAATCACGGCAAACCCGGTTTTCGACCGTTGCTTTATCAAGAGTTCCCTGAACATATGACTTGGCAGCAGAATGCAAAAAAGTGGAAGCCTAGGTCTTCGAGTAGAATGTCAATTGGGCGCATGTATTACTGCAATCCTGCTGCCGGCGAGAGGTATTATCTGCGTCTGCTGCTCACAGTTGTCAGAGGAGCCATGTCGTTTTCTCATCTGAGAACTGTCAATAATCACGAGTACGCCACCTTTCGCGAGGCCTGTATGATGCTGCATTTGATCGAAGATGATGGAGAATGGACCAGAGCCTTTGAAGAAGCTGCTACCTTTGCCTCTGGCTACGCAATGCGTTCAATGTTTGTCTCTGCGCTCATGTTCAACTCATTGGTATCGCCTGTTCAGATTTGGGATCAATTCTGTGAAAGTTTCTGTGATGATCTTGAGCATGCAATCGTGCAAAAAGGGTATTCGCTGCTGCTCAGCGTGCAACCTGACGCTGAATTTTACCATGGAACGCGAAGTCTTGATTACGGCTTATATCTGTTGCAAACATCTCTTGGTGCACAAGACAGATCTCTAGGTCAGTTCAATTTGCCTTTGCCTCTCTTCAACTGGAATGGCTTGATAAGCAGAATGACTGGCATACAGCGCAATTCATTGATACTCAATGAAATGTCATATCTCCAAGATCAAGAAGCCTTTTCGTACCAGCAAAAGTACGCTCAAATGAACGCTACCCAGAAGCACGTATTTGATACCATCACCTCCTCCATCAACAGCAACACCAATAGCTCACATTTCTTTTTGCAAGGTCCAGCTGGCACTGGCAAAACCTTCATTTACAATACTCTTTGTCACTTTTATAGAAGCCAAGGAAAAATTGTTCTCTGTGTTGCCTCCTCTGGCATTGCTGCTTTGCTACTTCCTGGTGGGCGTACGTCGCACTCTCGCTTTGCCATTCCACTCAACATCCACGAGCAGTCTGTGTGTGCAATCAAGAAAAACGATGATCTTGCTGATCTCATTCGAGAGACATCATTGATAATTTGGGATGAAGTGCCAATGCAGCATCGATATTGCTTTGAAGCTTTTGATCGAACACTTCGTGATATTTGTAGTCGTGGTGATGAAGTTACCTTTGGTGGTATTCCTGTTGTTCTTGGCGGTGATTTTGCTCAAATTCCACCTGTTGTTAGGCAAGGTGGCCGTCCTGAAATCGTCAATGCCTCACTGAAATCGTCAAGATTATGGCCCAAATTACAAAAGCTGAGCCTGACTGAGAATATGAGACTTGCCAACTCCAATGACACAGATAGGCAATTTGCAGATTGGATAGGAAAAATGTCGTATGAACCATCCATGATTGGCAGCATTGCTTTGCCCTCTTTTTTGAGGCAGATGACTGATCTTGATCAGTTCATTGAAGATATCTATCCTCAGCATGTTCTGCAGTGTCCTCTGCAAAATAGTGATTTCTTCAAGGAAAGAGCTATTCTCTGTTCAAAGAACGTCAACGTTGATGCTATTAACAGCAAGGTGATGGAGAACGTGATTGGGGAAAAGGTCACTCTGTACTCTGCTGACACAGCTCAGTCTGATCTGACCAACACGGAGACCCAAGCCTATCCCTCAGAGTATTTGCAAACCCTTTCGCCTTCAGGGCTGCCGCCAGCAGTTTTGGAGTTGAAAGTAGGTCTTCCTGTAATGCTCTTGAGAAACCTCAACCCTGAAAGAGGTTTGTGCAATGGTACAAGGCTGATCATTCAGCAAATTGGACAGTATGTCCTCAAGGTGAAAATCCTCGGAGGGTCAGGTGCAGTAGAGTTGATTCCTCGCTTTACATTATCAACATTGCCTGGTACATTACCATTTATTTTGACTAGGAAACAGTTCCCTGTAAAAGTGTCTTTTGCGATGACAATCAACAAGTCTCAGGGGCAATCCCTTAGAAAAGTCGCTGTAGACCTCAGGAGTCCTGTTTTCACACATGGCCAACTCTATGTTGCCATCTCGAGAGCAACATCTGCAAATGGTATGACAATTCTACTGCCAGAAAATGCGACTCGGACAGAGAATGTTGTCTACCCAGAAGTATTATATAATATAAATGCTGTATAAAAAAAGTTGGTCTGTAACTCCCAACTCCTGTCGTCT